GGAAGGTAATGCAGACATTCTGGTTGAGATTTGAGTGGTCTGAATTCTACCTATGTCCCTAACTAGCTAAATACATTTGAAGATTCAAAACCAGTGAGATGATAGAAAATGCAGGCTATGTGGACTTAAGTAGAATTTGAGCCGTCTTACCCTAGTCCTGTATGTGCCCAGAGTTTTCATGACCTCATTACTTCCTTCGCAAACATTAAAAACAAACAAACAAAAACAAACACAGAAAACCCTTTATTTTTTGTGGCTTTAGTCTGCTTTTGAGAATTTTGCTTCTAGACTTATCTTTTTTTTTTTTTTTTTTTTGGTAGCTATCCAGTTATGAAAAAGATAAGTGGCTTTGATTTTGTCTAATAAAAGGAAATCAAACATATATTTTCTTTTTGGATCATTGTATGCTATGTAAATACTTCATGCTTCAGAAGAATGTAAGAGATATACATCACCAATGGAGAGTTACAAAATGGTTTTGAGAGAAAGGGAAGGTTCATCCTTTTGAATTATCTCTAAAAGTGGGTTTGTGGTCTTTTGGGAAAGTCAATAAGATAAAATGAATGATAGAGTTATTTTGAAATCTTAACTGTAGTGTTATATGTCAGGATGAAATAGACCGGCTATATTCCTGTCTAAGAGTCTGCGATCATTTTCAAAGTATATTCCTTGTCTGCAAGGTGCTGAGGATCTCAGCTGTCCTGAAGTTTATTGGAAAGTAAACTTGTTTTACAATGCCTTAACAAAAGTAATGATGAAGAGTCCTTGTTTTGAGAGAAGAATAGGCCTATTTGAAATCACTGACAGGACAGATATCACAAATCTGGTGAATTGAGCTCTTCATAGGTCTTTATCCGTACAAAATGGACTTGAATGACCCATGCTGTTATAAAGGTGGAAGCAGATTAAGGGAGACGTAATTCTGGAAATTAAAGAAAGTAGAGGTTCATTTCGATGACCCTTCAGGTTTATTACCATCCTGTATCTTTTCCAGTGAATAAGTTCTTTTTCTTAATATTCCCGTAACTCTCTTTCTTGAACTTTCGTCTTTATTAATTCATAGGCTGTTGGCTTTTTTGTCTGTCCCTTTCTTTAAATATGCTCTGTTTTCAGTACATATGATTATAAAATTCATTTTTATATATTGAGTTTTTTTTCTTTTGAGGGAAGTATGGAACTTGACGTATAATCAGCAGTAATTACAAATAAAGCTAAGGCAGTTGTGCCTCTGCCAGCCTCTTACTGCAGAGATATGCTGCATCCTGCAACAGAATGCTAGAAACATCTATCATTGCTAAAAGCAATCCCAAGTTTTAGCTAGGCAGCATCCAAAGCCAATGGTTTGCAGCATACCTCTTTAGACACTGTTTTCTTCATTTGCTACTACCTGTCTCATTTCCATCTTTGTGTGTTTGTTGTTTGAGAAAATGGGAAAATAATTGCTGACAGCATGTTGTAAGGGAGGCAGCCCTTTGTGTAAAGAATATTGTGGGGTTTATCATGTTCAAGATTTATTGCAGCATTGAAATTATAGCATACTACAGAAATTGGGGGGAGGGGGGTGTGTGTGTGCAAACATTTTAAAAAAGCTCCTAAACTTCAGACTTCCATTTTTGTGGCTCTTTTTCATTCAGAGTCTTGGTGTTTGCATTCCACCCTGGTTGGAATTTTAGCACACTGTTAGACTTCAGTATGGTATAAGACAGGCCCAGAACTTTTTCAGGCTTTCCATTTCAGGAGGTATACTTAGAAATAAATTGACCGAGAAGAAGCTTTGTTGCAATTGCTAAGATCTGTGCAGAAGCAGGGTGTATTTCTTTGCTGTTTGAAAGAATGATTGTGTTTTAAATGTTGGTATTCTTCAGGATGACAGAGGGGCACCACAGAGCAAATACTTATGTTTGAGTAAATGTGTGTATTCATATTAACTGTTTTATACCTAGTGCACAGAAGGGAATGGGGTGAATGACAACTGCATTAAAGTGGAAATTAAGTACTTCAAGTGGAAGGTTCTTTCTGTTTCATTATTTCCATGGAAATAGGATCCTCTGAAGGAACAAGAGAAATGAGGTCTCATTTTGGTCAATCTTGTAAAGCGATCCAGACATTTAGAAAGATGGAAATTTGTGGTTGAGTGCAAAATACTGAGTAGGGGTTATTGTTGATATTTCTTTCAATAAATATTTTTATTTGTTTAATATAGAAGTTTGTTTTAAGTTATTTTACTCGGTATGAATACTTACGTTCATTAGGGTACTTCTTGATATGCAAGCAGTCGACTTTGAGTTTACAGTGTTTTTAGTTGACATGTACTTTCAAGTGGCACATGGTTGGATTTGTGTTCAGACATTTAAGTTATGATGTAAGGAGTTCTATACAGGTAGCCTACAAACAAGTAACATAAGTAAAATAACAATGTGTTATCTTACAGGGCTAAAATCAGTTATTTCCATTGATTTCCAAAACTGTAAGATCTTTTCCATGGATGGGAGATAATCCTTCAAAACCACAAACAGTATTTAGTGATACAGTTAACTGGTACAAAGCATTGTTTGTAGTAATTAACTAGTTATCATCTTGGAGTTTCTTGCCTGTAGACATAGGGTTTTTTAGATTTAATTTTTAAAAACAAGGGTGTGGTAGCTAAGGTACAGATTCCTATTTCCTGTCATCTTTGAGGATTTGCCAGGGGACAGACTATAGAGAATTGACCCGTGTCCATACATTTAAAGCACAATAGTACAGTTAATGAAGGAAGATTATTCTAAAAATTGTTGAATGTTTCTGATTTAAATTTGATGGCATTGTTTCTAGCTGGAAGATCTATGAAATGCTACAGTTACCTGTATGAGGAAAAAGGCAGTGTGCAGGAGAAAGCATGAAGAGGTGTTACTCCAGGAATGCCCCATGTGTGGAATTCTCACTGTATTTTATCACTGGGGGTAAACGCTTTTTTTAATAAAAAGAAGCATATTTAAATTTTGCTCATTGAGCATTATGTTACAGACTTAGATGTGGCCATCAACAGCCTGTGGACAGAGATACGCTTCTCTAGGAATTATAGCCAGTTTTTAGTGAGAGTCTGGGTACGATTTTTTGATTTGGACCTGACACACTATTGCCAAACTGAGCAGCTTTGTGACATGTAGGCGATCCTATGTGATTACATGGGTTCCAGATGCATTTTATCACTTCACTTATGCTTGCACTTTGCTCAAATCAATCTATCATGAAATTCACAATCCAACTGTATCCTGTATATTCCCTGGTTAACCAAAAAGTCTCTTCCTACCATCTCTGAGAATTTTTTTTCTTTTTTTTTACCCCCCAGTTACTTTATCGAGCAGCTCATACTGTGAGTCCTCAGACTGTCAGAATTGACAGCAAAGGGTGATGCTGTGACATAGAAGGAGGAATAACTGGTATAGGATGCAGACGGACTTAGAAATGCTGCCAGCGACATCATTGTGAAGCTATCTCCAGGTGTCAATATGTAGGAAATTTCACTTACAGAGGGTCCAAATTGGTCTTAACTCTTATAAGCTTTAGCATTCTGTGTTGTCTGAATTCTTTAAGGCAAGGCTAATGCTTGACAGGATTACTCAGCCGTGCTTCACCATCTAGAGTCCAGCCCAGATAAGCAGAGTTGCTCTTTGGTGGCTTCTACTGCATAATGGGTGTCCTTTGCCCTCTTGTGTCACTCCTCATTTTCTAGTGGCTGACAGAATAAGCAGAGACCCAGAATTCAATAAATTCTTAAAGTTGAACTGTCTTTTAACACCAAGGACTCTTTTAATTAAATTCAAACCTCAAAGTAGTGTTTTAGTGTATTACCTGAAGTTATTATTTTGTAATAATTATTGTAAAGAAAGATAAGAATATAGAAACAATCACATCATGTAGTAACTGGTTACTTTACTACATGGATGGCTGCAGTAATTAATAATACACAGTAATGCAGTGCAGCTCATTACCAAACATACAAGCAATTGAAATTACCAAATTTATATTTGTCTAAACAGAATACAGTCATCTCAGTTATGATTACCCAAGATACAAATTATTACGCTAGCAAAATATTGGTTCCTTTTAGTCAGAATAGTTGATTGCAATATTGGTTTCAACTCCTACTGAAAAGCTTTAAAGTAAGTCCTTACATAGTCAAAATACTTTGTCACCTTAGCATGCTTTAGTTCCCAGTGTGGGGGCTCAAACCTAACTCGAGGGTTTGTATGACATGATAAGCACAGACTATGTTTACCTCCTGAAAAGGTAGAGAACAATAGCGTGTATCTGTGTAAAAGGTGAAAGCAGAAAGACGACCTTCACACAGTTGAAATCGCTGCTGTTTTGTTCTGGGTTAGACTTTTAAAGTCACACAGATGTAGGTCGTTTAAGGCTCAATTGCGATTAAGTGGGCTGGTGCCAGCTAGAAAGACAAAGACTCTGCCCACCTGCTGTCTGATTTTTCCCCTTAGTTAAAGAAATAGTATTGAATTGAGATGTCATTCCTTCCCCGGTAAGTTTCCACTCTGCCGGCCAGTTGCGATTGAACATGAGAGAGACTTATCAGTCTGTGAGACGACTGCACTTCTAAAGATCCTGAGCTGTAGCTGAGCGGGTTGAGAAAACATTTTATGTGCCTTTACTGATGCAACAGTAGTAGCATTAAGCCTGACTTCTAGAATGCAGCAGAGACCACAGGTGGATGGAGAGCTGGCAAGGGGGTTTGCTCCTATTAAATAGCAAGCAGCTCCGAGAGAACGGCTCCACGGAAGCCAGCTTCCCTACTCTCCCCTCCCGCGTTTACCAAGCCGGCGTTCACGAGAGGCGGTGCCGCGGACCTGGCCCCTCGGGGCGGTGCCGACTAAGGCCCCTCGTTGCGTGGACGTAGGACCTGTGCGGTCCCTTGGCGGAGCTTTCCTTCCCGGCTTCGAAGGACGGGCCGCTCGCTCGCAGCCCGAGACTACAGCTCCCGGCGGGCCCTGGCGGCGGCCGGCGCGGCGTCTGAGTGGCTCGCGGGCCGGAGCGGGAGGCCACGCGGCGGCCGTGCGCCGGGGTAGCGGGATGTGCGCGCGGACCTCCCGTCGCCTCTCCCGCGCGGGATGGAGCCTCGGGAGCGCCGCTGAAGGGGTGAGGCCTCCGGCTGGCCGCCCTCATGGAGCTGAACAGCGCAGAGGCGGCCTCCACCCGGTTCCTCGGCCTCACTCAGCGGTACCGGAGGCGGGGAGGCGGGGGCCGAGCTTGGGCGGGGCGCGGCGCGATGCGGTGCGGGCCCGCGCGGTCGATGGCGGAGAGGCGGTGCTGCGCCTTCCCCGGCCAGGGTGTTGGAGGGGCCGCCGGCCCGGGCGGTGCTGGAGGGGCCGCCGGCCCGGGCGGTGCTGGAGGCTCCCGAGTGGGGGGGGCGGCTGGCCCTCGGGCAGCGGAGCGGTAGGAGTCTCGGAGCTGCAGGTGGCGTGAACGGAGCCAGACCGGCGTCTTCAGAGTCGATTTCGCAGCTTGTTCAGCGTTACGCTCGTGCAGACAGATACCGCTGGGATAGTAACTGCAATAACCTGATGGCTGAGCGCGCTTGTACTCGTGCCTGCCCCTTCAATGAAAATGCGTGAACGGCTACTGGCAAGTAAAGACCTAGGTGATAAGGGGAGCGGAGAGCACAAGAGGCGTGCGGGCTATGTCATTGTGATCACACAGGTGCAATCTGCAAATTCACCCCCTTCAGCCACGACGTCCCCACCCCCCAAGTAACGTGCTTTCCAGTGTCAAACTCCTAAAAGATAAAACTTGCGATTTGACACTAGGATCCTAAACAATGCATGCCCAAGTTTAGATTAGCAAATATGTTTAAACTTGTTCAACTTTCAGGACTGTTAAAGTTTGTAGGAGCGTCTGTTGAAATGAGAGGAAGCTGGCCCTCTCTCCTCTACCTTGTTACTGTACGTTTATACAACAGCACCTGTGCTCCCAAAGAAATGGGAGAGGGAGGTGGAGTGTACTGTGGGTGCTGTACAGATGTGTATGAGCTGGATTTTTTTCATGTGAATAAAAGCTCATCTGTATTAAAACACTTTGCAATATAAGTAAATTCTAAATTATTAAGCCAAACTGGTCTGAGTTACTGGTAAACTGACCTAAGTACTTCAGTGCTGGCAGTTCATTTTAATAGGATGAAAACTATTTTAAAACTGGCATAACTGGAGCAACAGTGTTTTTCTGATGTAGATGAGGTCAGGACTGAGGAATGATGAAATCCAGTGAAGAAAATTAATAAGAAAAGGTAATGTTAATCACATCATATTTTTTAAATTAGATGATGTAATAAGTCTGAGAGTTGATGAGTACAAATTTTACTGGTAACCAAGAATAGAAAGACAAAGAGGTATGTGGGCTAGAATTAATTGGGGAATATGGGCACTTATGCAAATAGTGTGATAATGTAATTCTTACCTAGGCATAAATTGAGGTTAAGAAGCTTAACTTTCACGAGGTTGTCTGTGTAGCATTTATGTTGCTGTGAGATTCTGCTTGAAGTGTTTCATATAAAGTAGATGACAAGTATGATATGAAGTAGTTAGATTGTGAAGAAGCGGAGATTAGCTGTTGGGTATAAATCTGATTTTTAAAAGGACTGATAGTGTGTTTGAAAGTTAGATATGTTTTAGGTACTTTGAACTGGGATGCAAATGGATAAGAATATTAATCTTAAAACACTGTTGTTTTAATCAGCATTTTCCTCAGATATACACCTGATTTTTAAATAGCAAGAGCAGTGTCAGAAAAACACTTTTGATACCAAAAGGTGTGGTTTGTTGTGAGACAATATATTTCCCTAAATTATTTGAATGTAATTTGTGGAGCGAATGGGAGCATAACCCCTTCAGGCATACAAATTGTTCTTTACGCTTTTTTTCTGAGCTTGTCTCTGTTTCCCATCTATATTGCACAGTCTAAGAAAACATTATGTCTCCTACTAAGCTTGCTTGCTCTTGGTGTTCTCCTCTACATCATTTCATTAATATACCCTGTCTTGCTGCATCTGTGAATCTCTGTACCCTTAGTAGAGATAGATCTTGGGTATTCGGGCTGGAATTGAATCCTGTGGGTTCACCTTACAAGGTGTGCACGGATATCACGTCTTTCTTTTTCATCTGTGTCACCATAGGTGTCTTTGACTGTGGGATTACACTGGAGGCTGGCTGTGGTATTGCAGTAACTCTTCTCAAGACACAATGAACAGTGGTGCAAGGCCTCTGCCAGATTCCCAGAATGTGACAGTGCTGTCCTCTTGTTATTTTATGTATACTGCTGTTGGCTACTGTCTGTATGCTTATCACTGTGTTTGTTGTGCACTGATAGAATGCTGAAACGTCCCTGTTCCCCGTCATTCTGTGGCCAGCAAAACTGATGAAGTGTGAAATGTTGAAGTATGTTGGAGTGCCTCCTAAAGGCAACTATTTTGTGGCTTGTTGTTGTGGAAATGCTAGAAAAATATAAATCTAATAACCATACTGGGATTGTTTAGATCAAAAGGTTTTTTGGAAAATCTGGAATAGAGGATATATTCTTGTGATGGAGACTGTAGTTTCATAGACACCACACCAATTGTGAAGAACTTTGTATATCCAAGTGTTGGTACACTGTAAGTTTGTGGATCCAGATGGTCTCCTTCAACATCCTCTCTCTTGTGGACCTCGGGGAGTCTTTTTGGTGGACCTTTTTTTGGCCTAATCAGCTTCAAGAACTTTGTTAGGAGCAATGCTGAGTATACCTGAGAGGGTGTGAAGGACAATCATCTTTTCCATGTTGAGGAAAAAAAAAAAAAAAAAAGATTGATATGGCAGAATGCAAACATAACTCTGCACCTTTCTGCAGTACTCATTGTTGGGAAGTATCTTAATGATCTTAATCTTAATTAAGATCAGACCAGTGTATCTTGTCTGCTTTTAATTCTGTCACCATGTTTTAGACATTACTTTCCAGGCTCTTTGGGCTGCCAGGCACATACCTTAATACACATTTTGCCTTTTTGTATTTCTAAATTAATGGCTTCCATGTGGTGTCCTCTTTGAACTCGATAACTGATATATTAGCATGTTCATGTGTTGTATACCTGTATCCATTTCTTAGTTACACAATGTTTTGTTTTGAATACTCTTTTCATATTTTTAGAGCTTTTTGTTACCTACTGACTTTGATATCACTGCATCATTAATGTGCTCAGATCTTGGCATGCTTTTCCTGTTAGAGTTTGACTTTCACTCGGCTGAAATATCACCAAATTAAGGTATAGGAGTTAAGGTACTTAGTTTGTGTGCATGCAGCTGGTTCTCACATGCCTTCATAACTCCCTGGATATATCATGCAGGTAATTAATGAGATGGCATTTTCCTATAGTTTCATGTATTTTGAGGTTAGCTTTGTCACAAGGCAGAAAGTACTTTGGTTTTATAAACCTCAGCTTGCATTTTCTCCTGCTTTGTGGAGCTATCGCATGACCGATGAAAGTTTATAAAAATTATCCAGGAGAAGATGGTTTGTTCAAAGCACAGTAGGCCAGATGCATTTTGTGGTGACTTTCTAATTTGTATTATATTTGTATTTGGGGTTGTCCAGATGTCAGACACACAAAGCAGTGACCTGGCTTTCTCTTTAAAAGATTTATTGTACTAGTGACTGCTGTTGGATTTACTATTTGTTTATTTCTTTATTACCCACTCCTTGAATTGTCATCTTACATACATTCTTTATTTGATCAAAGACTGAATCTCAGAGCTCAGTGGCAGCAAAATCTCTCTTGACTGCTGTTTCCATAACATGCTGCCACCAGTACTGATAGTGACAAGTGTTCATTGATTGGAATTGCTTTTGCTGTGGTTTCTAAGGTAACTAGCACACCTAGCCATAAAAACTAATTTTATAGAGCAAAAGTAGCACACAAAGAAAATGCTAGCACTACCATGATTACGTGATTTTTCTGTAAAAGTAAAAAAAATAATAGAAACCCCAGAATGCCTTAAAATAGATTGCAAATGAGGCATTCCACTTGTTCCGTGAAGCATCTGCCAAATTTCATGTGTTTCTCAAAATACAGGAACTCTGCAAATTGCACTCGATGCGTTACTACTTTTTAGGTTTCATCTGAACTTTCCAGATTCTTTCTGAGGTGTGTAAAGGATCGCTTTCAGCCTGTACAAAACTAAACTTAGGAACTCTTTGTTCTATCTGGAAGAAAAAAGAAAATCTGATGTCTTTATTTTTGTCTGTGTAGATGCTAATCTTGAAATACTTTTATGTCACCATGTCTTAATAACTGCAGAGAAAATTTGTTAGCCAGATTTATGTGTGTTTCCTTCTGAAAGAAAAGATGAGAACTCAGGAGTAATAGCTTCAAAATTTTTCTTTACTGCAAACCATTTTTACTGAAGTAAAGTTTAGGGATTTTTTTATACTTTCCGTCAGATGATGGAAAGATGGAGGAAGATGATGAATTTGCAATAAAATGTAAAGCATGCATGATTTCCTTGTAAATGGCATGTAGGAGTAGGATGAAAAGGGACTGTCCAAATACACTTTCAATGAGCATGTTGATTATTGCTACAAAACCATGTAAAGTAGAAGGTAACTGTAACAGAAATTTGAGATGTGCGGTGCACGGGTACATTCAGTCTTTTCACTACTCTGGGCCACCTTCTCTGTGTTGCAGGCTCAGAGGGAGCTCTAAGTGTTGTGGCGTGCTACAACTTGTATGCAACAACGTGGCAATATTGCATGGCAAGGTTCACTCAAAGGTCCAACAGCAGTAGTGGTAGGTGCATAAAAGTATTGGACATTAAGTCCTCGTGGTGTGTGATAGCTTAAGATATGAACCTACTTCTGGATGCTGAGACTTCTTAAGAACAGGTTCTGCTGTTTGTTGCCATTAAGATTGTTTCATCTTTGCCTGGTTGACAAGGCTCTGAAAATTCTCATTGTAACAAATGTGAAACAATAGAGATGTACTGCTGCAGACTTTGAAAATTCCATCTTTGAGGCATCCTTTTTTCAGGTAGCAACCTGAAGTAGCCTTACTCACTGGAACTGACTCTTGTTGTGGCTCATTTTTAATTTATATATCTCTTAAGTTTTTAATACTGTTTCTCTTCTAATTTTGTCTCTGTCTACTTTCTATCATGTTGTGGGGGGGAAAAGGAGTTATTCTTGTTACTCTAAATTAGAATATGAGCTGTTAGAACTGCAGGCTTTGACATATTTTTTTTTTCACCTCAAGTATGGTAAGGTTCTGAAATACTTACATCTACAAACAGCACATCATAAGTAATATCAAATTGTAGCTGCTTTGACAAGGACACTTAGATCAGGACCCAATCCCAATTTCTTCCTGTATCACAGACTTTTTCCATCTCTGCTGTGCAGATTCCCAATATGGGAATTACTGTTTTTCTGGAAGGTATTTCGTGCCAGTTCTAAGGAATGTTAAGATTAATAATTGTCTGCAGTCAAACATAAATTCATTGTGCAGGCAGCCACAAGCTGAAATCTTAAATCATTGTATTTGTGTTTAGGTCATAATACTTCCAAATGAGTGATTGTTTTGGAGCTTGTAAAAATTGCAAGTGTGGATTAACCTCAGTTCTTGTAGGCAGTTTTCCACAAGTCTCTCCTATTACTGCTGCTGTGGCATGTATCTGTGTGCCCCCGTAGGTGTCAGAACACAGGCTATGGCTTCACTGCCTTCAGGGGCCAAACTAGCTGTATACGGTCATTTTTGCTTAGGAAGCAGTTTAGATATGTTTTTGTGACAAGGGGTCTGGTTGAGAAGTACAGGCTATATGTTATCAGAAGCAATAGCGTCATCAGAAGGTTTCACGTGAAGTTAGAAAGGCAGGTCTGTTGTGGCATGCAGCTAACATTCCTACTTCAGTGTGTGGGTCATTTAAAATTACTATTATTGCCATGTTCTTATCCTTCCCCCGTAATTTATGTACTGGAAGCAAATATTAGAATTATTTTGGTGAGTTTTAAATTTTTATTAATATGCCTTGTTTTTATTGCTTCTCATTGGGTAAAGACATGGAATCCAAGTAGACAGAACTCATAAATATGAATTGTGTTTAATAAACTTTAAGTACTTATAAATACAAATCCAAATAGAAAAGCTGTCTGAAAAGTAAAATGTTTCGGAGTCCACTGCCACAGTATCTCCTACAGTCAAGTATGAGGATGTTGCATTTAAATTTTGATATTTCTTCTGTTTATTGAAGTAACATTGCAATTTACAGTGCTGATAATTCTCAGGAAATGTAATCTCTTATTGCTGGATGGAGGGTTTCTTGTTGTTTTGGATTTTTTTTTTCCCCATTAATATTAAATTACTTTATTTTTGCTACTGCTGATGGAAGGGTGAGCTGTAAATTTGGATTATGATGGAGGATGAGTGAGCTGCTAGTGTTGATACAGATTCAGTAATCAAGGTTTATGTTAAATTTGCATCTAAATCTTTATTTAAGTTATGTTTGTGACGTATATTCCCATTGCAAAGGCAGGAAGCTTAGTATTTAGTGTTAGAGGAGGTGTTTGCCATGTGTTTTGACCTCATGAAGCACATAGTGATTGATGTGCTTGATGTGCCATGGTATTAGATTATATGTGATAATGAATGTAGATTTTGAATTTAGCATTCTAGGGTTACTTTTGTTTGACAATTTTATCTTTGTTAAGGTTGATGGGGGGAAGCCTATGAAATACTGTTCTTTACTTATGGTTTTGAATTAAAATAATTGTTTAATTTATCTTTGAGTAGGCTAAAAAAAGACACTGGAAAAAAAAAACAGTATCAACATACTAAGCGTGAGTTTATTGAGCATAGTACAGCTGTCCTATTCGAGGCATTAAGTTTACTGTAGGTTTTCCTTCCCTTAGATTAAATGCATGTTTCAAACATGATTATAAGCCACCACCCGCTTTGGAACTCCAATCACATCATGACTAAATTTTTAATTTAATCATAGCTTTTGCTTCCAGTCAGGACACGGACATTTCTTTTCCTCTGGGGGTAATGTGAAAGCCAGACTGCAATGGCTGCTAGAGATTGTACAAATTGTAAGGAGTATTCCCTCCAGTAATGAGTTTATGCACTGCAAGCCTTGTTCAGCAGGAATGATATTTGTTAATGACAGGGCATAGTGTTGCAGGAGATCTAAGGCTAGCTGACTTGTGTACACTGATGAAGCATTTCTATTCCAGCTCTGTCTCTGAAGATCTGGGTTGCAGACGTGGAGAGTTTAGCAGAAAGCATTATGGATCTGTGGAGCTTGTAAGTTTGCATAGCCTGTCCTTTGATTTTAGCAGCTTATAATGCAGAGCTCAAATCCTTTTCATTTCCAGGGAAAAGGTTGGATCTAGTTAGGAAAATGTGCTTTCTAAGCTGGACTTGAAAGTTAGAGGGTAATAAAAAGAGGCTTCAGAATAGATATATTGGACCTGTGGTAGAAAATATTTTTAGTACCTTATTTATTAATATTTCATCATAATGGGACAGGAAGTGTACATATATATAAATATTGTGGTTACCCCCAGATGGAAATTGAGTCTTTTTTCCTCTTATAAGCTGAAGATTGCAAAATATTGGGTAGTATTTGATGAAGTACTTGTAATCATGTGAGTTAAAAACTGTGTGCGTGCTTGTCTGTGTACATATATATGTGTTTGTGATTGTATGTGTACATGCCTCAGAGTAGCGGGAGGAGGTTTAAAATGAGAACTAGTCAGAATAAGGATATTGAAAACTGTTCCCTAAAGTCTGTCAATTATTCTGCATTTTCTTCAAATACAAAGATTAAGTTGGCACTTCATTTTTCTCATATGTGAATTTCTTCTCTGTTGTGAAAATAGTGGTATATCTACAGTTAAAATAATGTCATTCTGTATATGAGGCTGTAATTAAATTACTTAAACTTACTACATGAAAACAGAAGTGGGGAGTGGTAAAGAAACTGTACTTCAGCTTTCTTACTGTGGGAAGAAATCACTAATCTTCTACTAGCTATAGTTGTAATTTAAAGTTCTTGGATAGAATATTTATTAATATGTATGTAAATTGGGTGTAAATTGGTGGCTTAGTTGCTGGAAGTTGTACTGCTAGAACACCAGGTATCTATCTTTTCTTTCTATCCATTCCACATTAGATGTGGTGTTTTAATCAAAAAAGCAAGTGAACTGCTTTCTGCTAAGAGGGTCTTCCATTACTAGTACTTAGATTCTTCTGTTGAAAAAGGAAAAATTATTGGTATTTACAAATTTACAGTAAGGTCACACAAATGTTCTTGTCTTTTGGTTTTCTTAAAATTCTGCTAGTATTTTATGAAACTGTGCCTTTTTATTGTTTGAAGTACAAACGTATAAAGGTGCTTGTTGCCCTTTCAGATTTCTAAATGTTTAATATTGAACCTTTCTTGCTTAATATTTTCCACAGCAGCATCTCAATTGTTCAATTATTTTCACCTTTTATTTGTTACAACACAATGATTTTGTCTCTGCCCCAAACAATTTTTCCTGTGTCTTTTCCACTGGTGCGATATGACCAGTTGTCCATATAATTTTTCTTACAGTTTATACAAGGCACCAAGATATGTTGGAGTTCTTGCCATGTTAATTTATTGCTGACATAGCCTCAGATTACTTCAAAGCAAGGAGCACAGAGAACTTCAAAATGTTGTGATTGCTATTCCATCAAGTAAAGGGAGAAAGTATTATCCTAGAATAATGTGGATTGCTAGAGGGAAGCAAGGAATGATACACCATTGCATTATTGGTCAGATCTTGTTTCATAAGTTTGGTATGATATGTGACAACCTATTTTTACAGTTTTGAGAGCAGTAACATGCGGCATCATTGGCTGCATTCTCCTCCTCTTCTCTCCTCCTCCTCACTGTGTAGGGATCCTACACAGTGTTGCTGAACACATCAGATTTGTCATGTTATCCTATGTTTTACTGACTTCTCAAAGGCCTTATTAACAGCAAAGAGAGATTCAGTCTTCTGGGAATCCCTGAATTCCCTTATAAAATGACCAGACAGTCTTTCCAGAGTACTTATGAAACTGTTGAAGTCTTCAGATGGAAAGAAGCTGTATTTTCTGATGTTAATGCTGGAAGCAGACTAGGACATCTCCTGTACCTTGTGTTGTTCGGTGTCATCACTGAGTATTATGTTTGGAGATTCTTGCTGCTCTCCGTCTCTGAAAACATCAATAAATAAAATGCAGTAAAAGACTGCTAGTCCCAGCAATATTGCCAACAAGTAGAGTCTTAGGCCTTAGCAAGGCTGAGAAGACAAGAATCATCATGTTTGTGAGACCCATTGTTTTGAGAGGAGCAAGCTTCAAGGTCAATTTCTGGAAAGCGGAAGTCCCTCTGTAGTCATTCTGTGTGTTGGTGCAGCCAAAATCTGAGACAGGAGAATTTCTGATGATTATTGAGATCTACCAAAAGAGCGAACGGCTCTCCGGCTTATGTTTCCTTAGAGTTATAAATGGGTCATTCCAAATCTGTAGTCAGTAATAGCTATGCTGATACCTTCTCTGTGGGTGGTCATACGATGCATGGGAGAAGAAAAAAACGTAGTAAGCTTTGATTGCTGATCATATGGCTATTTTTGGAACTAGAACCTTTATCTTAAACTCTCTTATAGCTTATATCTAGTGATGCTGATGGAGCCATTCAAAGAGCTGGACGGTTCCGTGTGGAAAATGGCTCTTCTGGTGAGGTAAGTGGCTAAAGATACTCACAGAAAGCTGAAAAAATAGTTCAGCTTCAGTTATTCTTCACCACTGAAAGATGTATTTGCAGCCAATTACTAAGAAAAAGGACTGGAAAAATGCTAAATAATAGAAGAATATAAGATTCTAAGAGGAAGCAGATCGTGGCTTTTTTTCCCCAAAAGTCTAGCTAAGCTCCTCTTCTAAGAGCATGCAATCTCAACAATTGAATTTTTTAAGGGAAAAGCTAGTATTTTGTTTAGTTTTGGTAACATTTTGCTCACCTGATCATGTTAGAAGAAAAATACCTATCTTATCAAATGAATAACGCTTTGCAGTCTCTAGGTCATCACTTTAGGTTGGTGTCCTGGTGATACTACTATGGTCAAACTGACCTTTGTGCGTTTAAATTTATTCTTCAGTGTGATGAGGTTATAGCTTCATTTTTTCCACCTTGGTTGTCTTTTGGCAGCTATGCTTATCTTTAAATAAGAGTTAAAGAAGCTGAGTGGAGTCTGAGAGTCACCCCCTCCAGATTCCTGTGTTGTTAAACTTGTGTGTCCCTGCAACTGCTTCACTGACACTTAAGTTTCTACTTATCTTCATTTTTAAATTTCCTTTACAAAACTTTTTCAGCTGTAAATATCATCTTAATATGAAAGAAAGAAGACCTTATATTTTTGAAATATAGATAAGGTCTTGGTAAGCTTATATTGAACTAATACAAGTTAACAGTAAGCTGTTACTGATCGTGTTTGCATCAGCACTGGGTGCAGAGCTTAAAGCAACCGAACCATTCTGCATTGATTCTCTGTGGGATCGTGTTCTTTACACTGCCTTTTAAGTTCAGCTTCATGCACTTCAAAAACTGATTAGTTTGCATCACAGAAAGATTCTCTGAGTGGGTGATGAATGGCCACGTAGTGAATGGATACGAAGAATGGCTTTTTCTCTGCACATGTTAATTCTTAGTGGAAAAGGACTCCGGGGATGCTTGGGAATTTACCTTGGCTGACTAATCTGGAAACAACACTGAAGAACTTTCAGAGCATGCTCTGGTTTAGCAAGGAGTCCTTATGTATTACTTTGGGAAAAACTGAGAAAATGAAACCTGGAGGCAGAATTCTGTTCATTAATTTTTATATTTTTAAGTTTTAAAAACACTGGTCTTCGAATTCCACATGGAAATAGCTTATTTTCAGTGGAATACTAAGCTATTACCCCTAATGGTGATACAATAAGAAAAGACTGTAGTGACTTAGAAAGAAAAGAGAAAAAACAGAAGAGAGGGAGAGACTTTAATTTCAGCTGTACAACAACTGACTTCAGAATAATTCTTTGCTTTTTAAAAAACTGTATACAGCTAAAACTCTTCTGGTGAATCAGCCACTCTTGATTGCCTTTTGCCTATATTATATACTCTTTTTTTGTTTTGTTTTGTTTTGTTTTTTTCCACTCAGCATTTGATCTAACAGTCTCCCAATTCCATTTCAGAATACAGACTACACTCCGGGTACCTGGCACAGAACAGACGTGCATTTGGAAAACCCAGAGTATCATACGAGATGGTATTTCAGATATTTTTTAGGGAAAGGTAATGATCTTTTTGCGAATGGATTGAAGCTTTGATCAGTGAAAATGCAAGGTAGCTTTGAATTGCTATTATTTAAATATGGAAAAAAAGTATGGTATTATTTTAGTATTAATACATTTTCTGTCCTATATAGAAAAGAAGTTATTTTTCCATGCGTTTTTAACCTGAAGACAGAGGATGGCTTTCTGTAAGCAGCAGAACCCTTGCTAGCAAAAAGGAATGTTCTGAAACCCTTTTTGGCCTTGAAGGCTGTAGATATCTGTTGGTTTTTTTGGTTTTGTTTTTTTTTTTTTTTTTTACACATCTGCATATAAATACACATTTATGTAGATAAGTATGTATTTTTACATGTGAATGCATATATTTACACATTTATTCATGTTTCTCTGTGTGTGCCCATGAGCAGGTGTGTCTGTGTCATCTTTATGGTTGATAATGCTTCTTGGTTTTTCCTAACAGTTCATCAGAATTATATAGGTACAGATGCAGAGAAGAACCCTTTCTTTCTGTCGGTTGTACTGTCTGACGAAAATAATCAGCGTGTCCCTCAATACCATTCAATACTTTGGAGAAAAACAGTAAGAAACAAATACTTAACTGCTGCTCTGACTTGTTTTATGTTTCCTTGTTTGTTTTGGATATGTTTATCATACACTTTTTGGCTTGCTTCAGGATTTCAGTATTTAATACATGTTTTCCATTTTATACAATAAGAACATAATTCGACCATAGTAGATAAACTAAAATAGCTTCATAGATAACATTATACTAAACTTTCCAACAGAAATCTGTGATACCGGATATTGTTCTTACCTGCAACTCTGTTATTTTTAGAAATGTTGCCTAAATTGTTCTTGATTATGTCCTGCATTCAGTTTAGGCAATGCCTTTATGCTGCTTTTGGGATTTTCGTTAAGAAAATAGGCAGGTGCGATACTGGTTTCACTAATATTGCTTAATGATTATTTTTTTTTTTTACTTTAGGTTCTGTAAGAGCCTTTTATCCAAGCAATTGATTTAACTCTCCTGTATGCATACATGGTTGACTTTTTTTTTTTTTTTTTTAAAGTAGTAGTTTGTAATGTCTTCTAGTTTCAGCAGCCCTCATACCACATGCCAAGTAAAAAATAATTTTGCTTCATCCATGACTCTTCACATTCAGGTTTTTTTGTGTGGGTTTTTTTTTTGGTTTGTTTGCTTGTTTTGTTTTTTTTTTTCTTTTTTTTTCCAAACCAGTATTAAATATGGCTATGTAAAAACTAGAATGGTTTTGTTCCTTGTTTTTTTTTACCTAATTTTTGTTATTATATGAATGTACAGAATTTAAATTTTAATTTTATTAAATTTATTTGAATGTACAGAAAGAGTCAGTATGTCCTGTAATATCTCTTAGCTTTTTTCTTTATAGGGTACTCAGAAAATATGTCTCCCTTACAGTCCCACAAAAACATTATCAGTGAAATCTATATTAAGGTATGTATTTACGAATCAGTTATTAAGATATTTGTCTGTATGCCTTTACTGTAATTCAGACCTTGTGTTCCATGGTTTTCATAATAGACTTATAAAACCAGTAAAACCAGGTTTGCAAATCTTGATCGCTGAAGGCAGCAGAAAGTGGTTTTAAAAGCCTGTGCTGGAATAGACAAAGCGACAACTTTAAATGTAGAAAAATTCTCAGCACTTTTTCTTCAGCAGAGGGACTGTTTTCAGGTTGATTGGAAAAGAGGTGCTAAGTGGAACTGCAGTGACTGAGAAGAAATATCTTTTTTAATTAGATAGACAATAAACAGACCTAAGGAACAGCAGATTTTGCCTTGAGAGGTGGTTATTATGTGGCCCTAGCAGGAGGAAACAGACAGGGAAGAAACCAAGAATTGTTTCTTCAGTTGATTGTCTCCGTGTCTCACTATGGAAGTGTTATAGGCACTGGCAGTGAAGCCAAGAAAATTCCTTTCCTCAGCCAGAGTCCATATGACATGCTCGTACTCTCTTGCCTCTTCTGTGGCAGAAGAGAATACAAAATGATCAAGCCCAACACCATTTCTATGGCTTTTAACATTATAATCGGCTGAAATGTCAGAGCGCCTATTTGCAAAGTGTTCATTCAAATTTAATCTGCAGTTTTTACCACCTAGTCACGTGGTGTGTTTTCTCAAATCCATCACTGACATTGTCTTCAGATGCATCTCCTGTAAGGATTTTACCTCCTCTAGAAACCCATAAAATGTATCTTCATTTACTGAACAGGTAGTGTGTAACAGATAAATAGGCAGTCTGCAGGTCTTCAACACCTTTGATCTGTATAGAGTATGAGCACATGTCTCTTGCTTGGTTGAATCTGGTCCACTGGATAACACTGCCAGTGCTGATGTGAGAGGAGAATTCTGGGAATGGGACATGTGTTGTGATGTGGTCAGTACCACCAGATCTGGATTCCTCTACAACTGTACAAGATTTCTGAGGGGCCACAAACTACTGAATTTGCCAGAGAGGCTAGCAGGCCATTGAGCCTCACTTCTTAATTCTTATTTCCTGGGCTGTGGCTCTAGTTTGGAGTTTCAAGATAGTGAGTTGAAAACACTTCAGATCATCTTCATCAAGATGAGCTGTTCTCACCTCTTCTAACTCCTACAGCACTGGTTTGAACAGTGTTCCTAGTTCGTCCGTACTGCATGCTGTACCTGCATAAGCACCTGATCTTCCACGTCTGACCACCAATCGCTGAAGTATCTCTTCCTAACATCCCTTCCTAACCCAGCCTCTCCCTCCACTCTCACCCGCTTACACGTTTTGGGTCAGGCATCCCAGAGCGGAGAAACTTTGTCTTCTGTTAGCTAGGGTCAGAACTTTTTAACTGAAACACCCTCGTATGTTCCATCCTGTGATGCTTCAGTATTTGACAGAGGAAAAAGCAGGCTTGTTTCAGACTTTGTTCCCCACTTCTCCCAGGATCTGTGCCACCTGCAGTCAGCTGGATAAATGTAATCTCCTTTTGCCCGCTTGGGCTAAAATCTTTCCTGACTATTCTTTTGCTTTTAGAATCCTCCAGTCTTCCCTCAGGCCTGATTGATATTCCTTTGACATTTCATCCTGTTCACAGCAGGTGTGAATCTAGGTACAGACTGTGTCAAAGAATTTCAGTTACAGTAATCAGCCTGTTTTTTCTAATTTAATTGGAACATTTTAATCCCTTTCAAAATGAACTAAAGCAAATCCTGTCTGCATTGTGATCTAGCATAAGCAATGATGGAAACTTGCATCAGATTTTACCTCGCTGTTAGTTCACTGTGCCCCAGACAGACTGCATTTGGCACTCTGTGACATGCTCTGCAGTTCTAGAAATTAATGCTGGGGCAAAAAAATGGGCAAAAATAACAGTAAATAGAGGAATATGAGTTAGGGAAAAATGCGATTAATTAGATATTTCTGTTTATTGAGGCAGTTGAGCTAGCTTCCTATTTAAATACTTTTTTATTTTCTGTTTGTGGATCTTTGGCGTGTGAATTCAATGATGAACTGCTCATTCTTCATTTGACTTCCCTTGAATTATTTTATAAGAGAGAGAAGAAAAGCTTACAAAATAGAAGAGGTTATTGAGTCCTCCTAAAATGCTCACAATGGTTATGTATAAAGCCAAAGTGAAGGGTGATGGAATAAAGCACTGTGTGTTATAAGTATATACAGTCAATTTAAACCTAATCTTCATGCAAGGTCTTACTAATTTCTGTTTTTAAAATACCAAAGAAGTTTAGGAAATCTTGGAGGTTAGTATTGTGAGGAAGAAATGACTATTCCACAAAACATTCCATGTAACAGAGGCTCTTTGAGCAATTCCTTTTGCAACCAGTTCTAACTGCAGCCAGTTAGTGGTTTAATGTTGAAATATAGACTTGCTATTCTATAAAGCAATATTTCATTTTCTTTTCAGTGCTATGAGTCTTGACAAATTTGAGAAGAGCCCAAGGGAAATTTTTCATCCTGAGATACAGAAGGTAGGAGGTGACTTCTTTTTTTCTTTTTTTTTTTTTTTCCCCTTTATTATTTTCTGGAGAAGGAAGTCATTAAGTATAAATGCTACTAGTTTGTTTCGTTCAGTAACAAGATAATAATGATGAGTAGGGTTACAGGATGCTACAAAGTAAACTGTCTTTATCAGTTGAACTGGCCACTTCAAAACAAAACTTATATATATACAGAGATGTTATAGTTTTATTTGTGTTATCTTTAATACCTGTGTGCTAAAGCTATTGTTTTGTTTACAGGATTTATTGGTTCTTGAAGAGCAAGAGGTAAATGTAAATTTACCACTCCTAGCTCACAGACCTGTTCAACGAATACAGCCGTGTATTTGCACTGCCATGCTTGTGACAACTTAGAAATCAATTGCTTATTGGAGTTAATAAAAAAATCTATTTATTTGCAATGTATGAGATGAAAAATAATTTTAAGCACCAACTTAATATATCATATTATTAGATCACCAAGTTAGTATCATAAAATCCATAATCTATGATCAAAGGTAAATTATTAGGTATCTGCCAATTGAGCACATACTGGAGTTGGTATGAAATGTATATTCCCATGTATAGGATGTATACAAAGGTATGTATATAGAAGTCCTTAGACAAAACAGTATTTTAGGTCTTTTGTTTGATTGCCTGTTTATCATATAATATTTGGGTTTATTTCTAAGGGATCTGTGAATTTTAAATTTGGAGTCCTTTATGCTAAGGATGGGCAGCTTACAGATGATGAAATGTTCAGCAATGGTGAGTTTTTCACCTTTTTCTTGATTGTTTTATTCATCTGAATAAAAAAATATAGGGTAGTGCCTACATGTGGAAGCCAGAACGGAGGTGATGGTTATGCAAGCAGTAGTTCTGTTATGTTTTCATGTTTGTGTTGGGTGAAAAATTGTAGTGTAGAGCCTTCTATTTCTATAAAAGGTTACTGTAGGAAACCTACTATTACAACTTGGATGATACTGAAATTTCTTTTCTAGAAATAGAATATAAAACATAAGATTTAGAAAAAGGAGGCAGTTGAAGGAGGTGACTCATGTTACCTTCAAAAAGTCATTGTTTCTAGTTCTTTTACATTTTTGCAGCATGATCGCATTCTTCTATGCGCTTGAACAGTGTCTTGGAGTTAGCAAAAGAGGTGACTGTCTAATGTCACATGATGATTCCTGTTCTACAAGGCAGGGATGCTGTTTCTGTAAATGTAGAAGGCTTGGATGACATGAGGAGAAACTAATTCAGCTGAAACTTTGATCCTGGTGTCCTGGACGCAGGACCTGTTCCTGTATTTTCATTATTTTTTTATAGGTATTCTATTATCACATGTGCTTTTCTGTTGTAATGTTTCTCCCCTCCACATGTAGAAACTGGAAGTGAAACCTTTCAAAGATTTTTGCATCTTTTGGGTGATACAATTACATTGAAAGGCTGGACAGGCTACAGAGGAGGACTGGACACTAAAAGTAAGAACTCATCTGAATCAAAAAAGGCGGGAGAGGGAGGCTGCAATATAAACATTTTTGCTTGTTGCATGCACATATTTTATATATTGTAGAAGTAATACAGTGCCAAAACAGACTTCCTTATGTGCATGCTAAATGCTTTGCTTCACCGGAAAAAAGTCAGGTTAGCTTACATCATTGGGATGGAATGCGGTTGAAGAAAAGTATTTATATGACCTGTATTTTCAAGGCGAATGGTTTCATTTTATATTGGAATGGGGTGAAGGTTAATCTGACATGTGACTTGCTTCATGATAGTAGGGCATCATGGCTTGAAGAAGAGTGTGTGATTTCAGGAGGCTAGGTGAAGGACATCATAGGTTTTAAGTGTGTAAAAATGCAGATTAGGTTGCAAACTTACATTTGGAGCCACATAAAACATATAGCGTGAACATTTTCTAAAATGGATCAGAAAAAAGGATGACTAAAGAAGGTTTGGTAGAAGGACCTGAAATATCTTTTGATCTTTAGAAAACCTAAAGGACATATTCCTGCTGAGAATGTTGTCTTCCCTTGCAGATGATACAACAGGAACCTGTTCCATCTATACAGTTTTTCAAGGGCATGAAATTATGTTCCATGTTTCAACCATGCTACCGTATTCTAGAGAGAACAAGCAGCAGGTACATGGAAATAAAAGTCTTAAGACTTTTGCTGTATTTTTTATCTCAATATTATGCCTAATGCTGAAAAATTCATGATGTTGGTTAGAAGATAATGCATCATGTTATCTCTAAGGTACAAAAGACACTTGCAAAGGTCAAAATTGATTGAGACATGATTGAGTATTCTGTTATTCAGATGACTTGTAGAGCTTCATTGCTGCATTTACAATTGGAAGGATGGAAATTAGACTTATGTGTCAATTGTCAGAATACTCACATATGTAACACACAACTTGTACTCAGGTAGCAATTCATGTAGCTTGAAAGAAAATCCCCTTGTGAGCATGTTAATGGGAAGCCTTGTGCATTTCCTCTACAGCACTGCCATTGCCCTCTCATAGATTGACTAGGTGGGTTCTTGGGTACTTGTTCAAATGTGCTGTCATCCATTGCTTGAACCTTCCTTGAATGAAAAATATACTTTATAAGCACATGTATTTACCTATACATCACACATTCATAATGATTTACCTAAAATTACTCACAAATTACTTGTTTTACTATTTTCTTATTTAAACAATAATTATACATTATGTATTATTATAATAATATAATTAGATGCTGCATTGTGGTTGGCTGCCAATCAGGCCTAAACCACGACATAATTATATTGTCCTTTTTTTATTTCCATGTCAGTTTTCTTATGCTTTTGCCTTGGATTGATGACAAGATCACAGCAGAAACCAGAGGCCAATCAGGACATTTATTGTTCTTAAAGAATAACTCAGTGTCAGGGTTTTTTTCCTTTTATTTCAAGTAGTGGATTTGCTTTTTTGGTGTGCTAGGTGTTCTGTGCCCAATTTGTGAATATTAATTATGGAAAATACAGGAATTATGAGTGCTTTGCTAACTTAAAGATATGCAGTAGCTGCTGTTCTAGCAGCTGCCTTGTGTGTGTACCATGGCATTGCTAGGTTTACTTGCTTAGAGTTAAGTAATAATTGTAAATTGGCTGGAATCATGTTGACCGTAATTTTTTTGTTTGCAGTTTAGGAATATTGTTTTACCATTCTCTCACAGAATTGTTAAGGTGTTTGTTTATGTCTTTTAAGTCATTGTGTCTGTTCTTTTTCTCTCTCTCTCTCTCCTTCCTTCTTTTTCTCTCTCTCTCCTTCCTTCGTTTTCTCTCTTATTCTCTCTTCTTCTTCCAGGTAGAAAGGAAGCGACATATTGGAAATGACATTGTCACTATCGTATTTCAGGAAGGAGAAGAGTCTTCTCCAGCATTCAAGCCATCCATGATTCGCTCTCATTTTACACGTATCTTTTTCCTTACTTTTTCTAGTGATTTTATTTTTTTTAAGATTAATATTACTTTTGATTATACCCTAAGACCTTCCTGCATGCTGATTATGGAGGTGAGAAGTATTTTAGAAAGACAGCTGCATTCTTGCGTTCTTTACCTTCACCTACTTGACTAGGAGTTTCTGTCTGCCTCATAAAACAATTTTTATGTTGAACCACTTAAAAGATAAAGTCAAAGCGAAAATGTGAATAAATTGTATTTTTATTGAAGGTATTTATTTGGATCACTTCACAAATTAAATTTCATACATTCTCATAAAATAGAAATGAAAATATTTCTGTTAGTGATGTGAATTAATTTGGCATTAGCTACTGAATATTTCATTTTAATGTTTAGATGCTGTTTATTTCAGATTAGTATTTCTCAAATCTTTCAGACCATAAACCACATATTCTCCAGATTTTCGGCAGTCTGTGTTTTTCAAACTTTTGCTTGAAAACATTGTAAAGACAATATGATTCCAAAAACCAGCTGCCAATCACTAAGCACTATTATGGGGTCACAGCGGTGATCCATAGATCCCAGTCTGGCATCTCCTAGGCTAGATTGAATGGAATGAAGAAAAACGGATGGAAAGAAGAAAACTCTTATTTCTATCTGTGCTCTGTTGCTGAGTTTTTAAAAATTGTCACAAAACTTACAAAAACATAATGAGTTGGAGGGGCAGATGTGCCCTAAATCCATAAGGATATGTAATCATTTAGGTAATTTTAAGTAATCTGCAGCTGGTTGATGGAGTAACATCACCTTCCTGATGTTTTCACTTGACAGTAGTTAGGGTTAAAGGTGTCCACAAGAAAACTGGGGGTTGACACTGATCTGTGTCAGATGTGATAAATCTCAAAGCACATTGGATCTGTACTAGCGCTTCATACTCACTTTCTACATACTAGATAACACCCCTTTTTTGTTACTTCTACCAGGGGACAAATTAGCATACAGGTATCCCACTGTGCTGTCCTACATAGCAGTGATAGCTGCTGTAAGGGTTTGCCATGTGTCATCTGTGGGGTAGGATTGAGTTACCCAAATAAAAGCATCCAGCACCAATTTAGATCTTCTAGCATATCTGAAATATCTGTGCAGGCCTGGTAGATACGACTCAGGGCCTACAGGTGATCTGTGCCCCTTTTGAAATAGCAGCTGGAGGCTGGGCAAGGTACTCTCAAGCATCTTAAACAGCTCTGGATGCTTACATTGAAATAATTGAATCCCATCATAAACCTTTTTTATTCTGCAGTCTCTGATAGTGCTGATCCACAGCTATGGGCAAGGATCTCTTTATTCTATCTGGAACAAACTCATACAACTAGTGAAGTTATTCAGACTTACACTTTCTTTGAGGACTGAAAACTTAGAGACAGTGTTAAGGAAATCTGTCAAAGCAAGAAGCCTCTAACTGATTCCATAAAAATATCTTGCAAGTCAACCATAAGGATTTCTTTGATTTTTCTACCCACATTTGCGCTAATTTATGAATTAAGTCTAATAATACATTTTTGTGTACTTGCACCTAAAATCATCCTCTCTTTTTCTTCTAATTGTGTTAGATAATTTATTTCATTGGAATTTTCTTCAGTGGAATAATCAAAGTTAAGAATCAGTATTTTGTTACCAACTAAAAGAATTTTTAATCACAAGTCTATGAAACACACAAAATACAAAACCTATGTAGTATCTTTTATGCTTCATGTAAGGACAAGAAAGTCTGTATTTGTGGTACTAGCTCAATTTTTGAAACTTGATCAAACACAAGAAAATTTTGTATGGGACCTCCTTTGTAAACAATATAATGTGTATAGTCTAGAATATTTTATATATTTACATTAATGAATATGTTTTACCTTTATTAAATCTGCAATCTGCTTCAGGAAAAAAAGTATATTAAACTACATATGAGCTTCATTAGTACTGGATTAACTTCCTTAACTGTATGGCAGATATTTTTGCCTTAGTGAGATATAATAAGCAGAATGATAGTTACAGGTAGGTGCTGATTGTAACAAGTAATTCACACTGAATTTCTGATTATTTAGAGATAATGGGAAAAGATTTTGTATTGTCCGTCTGTCTGTATGCCCGGAAGCCAGATGAATTTATGACGTTGAAGAGCAATATGGACCTGGATGTAAACTGGCTATGAATAAGTTGCATGTTTCTAACTATCAGAAGAAAGAAATTCTGGAACAGGCATAAACTAATGGGGCAAAACAAAACTACTTTTTAGATTAAATGTAGCAAAATGATGGAAGATATGCCTGGAACATTCATATCTGGTTAGATCAATGACATAGTGAACTACATGTGTGGTGAAAGTTAATTAGGTATAATGTTGTGAAAGCCATGGACTCTCGATCCTTACAGGTCTGGGTTTGGTTGTAGCTAAGTAAGCCAGTTCATTTTTAGGGATCTTAATAGAGTACGTGTACAGTTGGACATCACATGCATAAAACCTAGTGGAATTTTACTGGTAAATAATGTGTTCTTCATCTGGTTTCCACTTAGCCATGAGACCCTCACACTCGGAGGCATATGCTGTCCAACTCTGAGTCTGTTGGTTCTCACCAAAATCTGAAAAGCAAACATTTCTGCAGCCTCGTGCCATAGGCTTTGATGAACAAAGTGGCTTTAACTGAATAGTTAATCCCAACTATCATTTTGAGATTACTGGTGAGATGCCAGGGATATCTGTCAGTCTTGAAAAAGCAGAATGGCAATCGAATGTCATTGTCCAAGCCCGTGGGAGGGATTCACCTTGGGTTGAACCAAATAAGCAATAAAGAGAAATAAAAGAGCCACCATTTAGTGTGTGCTGCAGTTCTCAGTATGCGTAGACTTGCCACTGTTGTTTCTCCTGTACAAAGTACTAGCCATGTCTGTAATGATCCCTCTTCTATTGAAAGTATGCTAAGTCATTTACTATTAACTCAAAGTCAAAAGAAGGTCAAAAAGATATGGGAGAATTGTGTTCTCTTTTGGATATGTGTCTGAGGAGAGGATTGGTTAGGTTTGAAATTGCTGCCAGTTCAGATGCTGAAGTCTGTCATGGCTAAATAACTTATATTAGGAAACCAAAATGTTTGGTTTATCCAGCCCTAGAAAGGAAATGTCAGGGCATGAAACTAAAATTATACTTCAAACTGGAATATGCGTGTGTATCTACCACACTCAAAGCTTAAAAACTTAGCAAGAAGGAAGGGTGAAGTCTATGTGTTAGACTTTGAATGCAACTTTCTAATGGCTGTGTGAGGCTACATGACATCAGTTACTGTTTTGCAAAATTTCAAACTGTTTGCAAATCATTCTACACCACATTTGCAGGACGAAGCTGAAGGTTGGCAGCATTAGGTCTGTTCCTTTGAGGTAAACTACTAGTTAGCTTGCAGTGGAAAGAAAGGAACTTGGAAATGGCTTCCAGGAATAAAGAGTCCTTAGGTAGATTAGTTTTGCTTCCTCCTTGCTTGACAATTCCATAACTCTGAGGACTCAGGCAAATTGTGAAAGAGACCTGCAATACCCCGGAACTGATAATATGTCACTAGTGCTTTTTTTTTTTTTTTTTTTTTTGAATAACCTGTAATTGCATTTCTTTCTGTCCCTTCACCTTAGTCCTGCATGGGACTCTTGTTTCTTCTATTATTTTTTTTGTTACAACATTCTTCCAAGCAGCCAAAATTTCAGTCAAAAGAAACAGGGGATACTCTAGGCTTTTGAGACAAATTTTCCTTGTCTCATATGCAATGCCACTGTGAGGTCTGACACGGAATTTCTTCTTAGAATTAGTTTATATTTTATGTATGTTAATTATTTTCAGGTTTGTTGTAGTTTTCCCCATCCTAACTCATTCTGCTCTAGCCAAGGAACACTTCACACCCAGTGTAGTGATAAATGATTATTTTTTACCTGCATGGAATAACGTAGACGTAGGGCATCTCTGAAATTGTGTATTGAACCTGTGAAAACAGTATTAGAATGATCAATATTCATGCAAATGTAATACTGCACTTCAGATTGTATGTGCAGTTTCTAGACTTTCATGAAAAAAGACTGGATGAATCCATGAGAATCCATGTGACTCAATACCAGTCAATCACTGCTGTTTTTTTGAGCAAGCGAATTCTGTCTGGTTTGTATAACGGTAGAGATGGGTTGAATCTATAATTTTACCACTTAACTTGCTGTGACCTGTGTCAGCTGCACGTGCCACTTGGAAGATCTTTCTCTGACTGCTATCTTACAGTGAAGAAAATTGTGCAGACTATCATTTGAAATACTGAGGAATGATTACTTACCTTAAAGAAACTATGGCTTGCTTAGCATGTTGTATGCACAGTTTTTGTAGCTGCCATTTGTTCTTACTATGCTGGATTCCGTATGGGTCAAAAGAACCATTCCGTATGGGTCAAAAGTAAACCGTTGTTATTTGGAAAGAATCAAATATTTCATGCGTGTGGTGAATGAATAGGTAAGGTGAAAATCTAAAAGGAAAACATATTTTGTAGGCAAAGAACTGTTCTTTTACAGCTTTTTTGAAAAGGGCTAGATTTTGCTAGTGCCACTAAAAGCATTGTCAGTAGAATTGCAAAGTTCTATTGTAATTGTTAGTGTCCCAGTGTTTGTGTAAAGAAAGCAGAATTTTGCTTTAATGAATAATTCCAAGTGAATGTTTTGTTAGACCTGTGGGAGTTCTTACCTGAGACATACCTAGATAAGTTTCCAGTTCTTTCTTCTGTTTTGAATAGTGTCTATAAAAATGGTGGGGTTTGAATGTAACTTTCAATATAGATAAAGATTTGTTCTTTCAATAGGCTGAAAATATTTTCAGAAGAAAGTGTTCCTCTTTTTGGGCCTCCCCTTCCATCCCCACCTGTGTTTACAAATCACCAGGAATTCAGAGATTTTGTGTTGGTGAAATGTAAGTCAGTCTTTCTTTTGCTAGAAGCACTTTTAATAAGTTGAAATTCATGATGCTTAAAATGCAAGCACATTTTCTTGTGTATGCTGCTGTTCTGTATAGATTTTTTTTCTCCCCAAATCTGTAGCATAGATGGGATGTCAGTTTCATCAAATTGTTCCAGTCAGATTTACAAACAACTGAATTTCTATGCAATTATGCTTTTCAGGCTACTAGATACAAAGCGACTTTTACATTTGCAGAATGGGCAGCCATATTTAGCTTTGCATTTTCTTAAAGGACTTGGAGATCTGAAAATCTATAATGCTGTTTGATATTTAGTAGTAGGTGTTAGGTTAGCAGCCTGAAAATACAAGCTTTTCTGAATGCATGCTCCATAGGTGCCTTTCAGCACCTTTGAGAACTTTTTAATTCTGTAATGATTCAGTTCCAGTTTTCATTGACCCTTACTCGCCCTTCTAAATCAGTAAAAAAGAAATCTCAGAACTGATCATGATGATTACAATTAGATGCTTACCTGACAGGAACTTGACTAATAACTCATTTTGCATATTTAAATTGGTTTAGTACTTAGATTGATTAGCAGTTTGTCTTTACTTTTTTTATTAGTTAGGAGCTTATTGCAATGCCTTGTAGAATTCTCCTATTTTAGGCTTGAAGGACTATTCTCTAAAAAACATTCAGAAAGGAGGCAGCTCTGAATTACTAAGGGGAAAATAGGTATTTTTGTACAGAGGCAAACTAGAGTCAGTGGAAGTTGTAAGACAAAGTTCATGTAGGTAATGTATCTTCTTTTCCATAAAATTTTAGTAATAAATGGAGAAAAGGCCACTTTGGAAACCCCAACATTTTCTCAGAAACGTCAACGCACTCTAGACATGCTGATCCGCTCTTTATACCAAGACCTGATGCCGGATCTACATAAGGTAAATGTAAGTCAGAAGTCTCTGCATCCCTCACATTGGCTCTCCTGTTCTCACTAGTAGGTTGAATGTTCTGTTGCTCTAAAAGACTGTAGTCCTAATGAGCACTGAATTGCATACGCTAGGCTAAACACCTATTGTCATATAACTTGTTTTACAGTTATATAAAAGCTGACAGACAGTCCTTTCAGGATAGGACTCTTCGTGCATTTGTTTAAACCAGGTGTGAGGAGAAGCATAACATTGTCATGCTTTGTATAAGCTTACCTGGAGCAAGGGAATAAGAAAATTAGGCTCTACAAATACAGGTATTACTCTTGTCACCATAAAACCAGCACTTACTCATTCTATTATGTGGAAATTTGGATCCCTTTTACCCTTGGGTAACTGAGATAACTTTATTTTAGATGATGAAGTCATTCTTAAGGTAATTCTTAACTAACTAAAAAAAATTCAGTACTTCTAAAATTAGTGAGGTGCTGGTTTCTTCCTGCTGTTTATTTATCTTAGCTAAATAGATCTGCTTAAATTTTTGTCCATGTATTCATGTCCGTGGTCTTTGTTATGATTGTATAGAACACGACAGTGATAAACTATGACAAGTTGGAAAGTAAAGCGCTCAAAGATTGGAAGAGTTGCCATTTCTGTTCTGTGAGAAGCTGTACAGTTAGATTCATCGCCACAGTAAAATATCCCCCAAAAAGATAGAAAATTTAAATGATACCACATTAAATTAACTCAGATTAACAGATTATGAAAACTTTTGGTTCAGTTTAAAAAAGAAATGTTATCTGTTTTAGAACATGCTCAATAGAAGGTCATTCAGTGATGTGTTACCAGAATCCCCAAAATCAACACGGAAAAAAGAGGAAGCTCGGCAAGCAGAGTTTGTCCGACTTGGTCAGGTAGGATCAATTTAGGAGGTATGCACCTATATTTACAAAGACTGTGTCACTCCTTTTCTTAGAATTTGATTAGCTTGCAGAGTTGTCAGGACTTAATGCAGTTCTCTGTGGTCAGAAATAGTTTTGTTGTATTGTATTAGTTTAAGCCATGTTAAGGTAGAATATGAATAAAAATATTTAACTGTAATACCTGAGGTACACAATACAAATATTTATAAAATACATACGCTGAAGGAAGTTTGGAAAAATCACACTTTAGGATCAAACCTAAAAGGTCTTTCCCTACTTTGTACAGCAGATGTTTTCTGCTTCTAAGCAGAATAGTGCTTAGTGTTTCTGTGCTTTGGAGAAACATAAGGTTTCATGGATTTTCTCTATATGTTTTATTTATATTGAACTACTTAGAAATTATTTACACTGTTTTAGCCAGGAAGAAGTCTTGACAGTCTTTCTGCTAAATCGGAGGTTGCCATAGATCTTTGAACACACCAGCCACTGACTCCAATCTTCTGTGGACTTACTGACATTTTGATTCAGTGAGGAGTAAAACTTCCTGATGATTTAGGTAGTCTGGTTTGATCTGACAGTTCATTGCAGCAGAAAAAAAGGCAGTGTCTGTGCTCATTAGTTCCCTTGTCCCTTCCTGCTTGTCTCTACTTGATCCTGGACTGGTGATGTGGTCCTGCTGCATATGTTAAGAATACCTCTTTTCTGAGCTGATTTAACTCAGCAGGAGTTAACAGAGTGGGAAACCAAAAAAATGAAACAAAACAAAGAGAATAACCCACACCACGAACAAAACCCAAGCCTCCTCCCTTCCCTCCATTTTTTTTTTATCTGAGTTAGTTAGCTAAAGAGTGGAAGAGTCTGAGAAGTTTCAGATCTGGTTAAAGGTAGAGAATAGATCCAGGTGGTTGAGAGCTGGTGCAAAAGAATCTGAGGGCTGTTAAACCTTGCATTGGCAGGGCTGCAAAGTCTACTCCTCTGTTTTGCCCACCCTTTCCCCAGCCACCTTGAAATAGCTAGTCACTCTGGGTATGTGTTAAAAAAGTGAACGCATTTGTAATATTCAGACAGAAGTAACAAATTATTTGTTCCCCAAGTTTACTAATTACTTTACAGAAGTTAAAGAAAAAACATGGTTATTGAAAGTATAGAAACCTGTAAGCTTGATTCTCTCGGCTTCCCTTAAGGTAAATGGTGATAAGATACTCACATAACAAATCAAGTTGGGATCCATTTCTTAAACAAGACTTCCATCCCCGGCATGATCTTCATTGAAGGGAAATGTGTAATATCTGGGTTAAAAATTCATAAATACCTATTTGTTTGTGTTTTTCTTTAAGGTTCTTTTAACTTTTAAATCCTTCCCTTCCTTAAAATAACTTTCCTCTAAATTACAAATTGTAGGCTTGAACACATTTCAACATGTCTTCCAGGGCATTCTTGCCAAACTCTGTGAATGCGTCTGTCCCTTAGTTCTAGTCCACTGAGTTTTTAAACTGTAAACAAGACTCATTGATGACTGGCTCAGCACTATATTTAAATAATTTCTTTATTGTCAGGGTGATCTCTATTGACTGGTGGGATAAAATTAAAATGTTAATGCAATGAAGTATTTAATGTATCTCTGTAAGCTGACAGCCATGATTAATGCAAAGGTGGAAATGGTGCATGCAGCTGATTACTGCCACTTCACAGGGACCGTGCATGATGGTAGGCAAACTTTAGGACAGCTAAATTGATTTAGGAAATTTCTAAACTTTGCATTAAAGAATGCTGTGACAATTCCATGTGTCATCACTTTATAGGAACGCTGCTGTGAAGGTTAGCAATGAAGGTATATAAGATACCGTAAACGGAGTTATTGTATATCTCACTGGAACTATGTTTTTACAGTATTTCTCTGGAGTCCTTAGCCCTTTCAGAATCAGCTCGCTTCTAGTTACCTCTAGTTGAAAAATTTGTGATACTGTGACTGTATCCTTAGCACCCTTGGCAATGTGTATATTTATATATATATAGTTTGACTTAGTGGTTTGTTAGGAAGTTTTGCAAGTGAAAGGCCAGCTTGTATAATGGATAAAAGGATCCTCTATCCAGGTAGCTTATAGAATTAATTGTGTAGATGAGTAGTCTGTATGATTTGGGGTAGAGGCTTTGTTATTATGTTTGACACTTCTTTTCTGATTTGAGTTTCCATTTCAAAAACACACACCCCCACTGCACCCTATACACCCGCACCCCCCAAAAAAACCCCAAAGCTGACCCAGCCAACATACATTTTGGCTGAGAATATACCTGTCAGCCCTGTAGTGATTCATGCCGACTTTGTTCAGGATATACAGAATTTCTTTTCTTTCCTAATTACTTTAAATGTGATAGGATTTCCAAAGTGGAGTTACCTTCTAGTCCTAAATTGTCCTTTCTTTATAGTCTTTAGCTTGACTATTTCTGACAAAACTCAATTTACATAAAACATCTGTTTGTATCAGGCATTGAAGTTGAAAACCACTGTGAAAGGGGATGCCACAGCTAACTTGGCAACCACAAGCTTTTGTAAAAAGGAGGTGAGTGAACTGGTCTGTCTGAGGAGAGTTATGAGAAAATTAAACACTATCAAGTATGCCATTACATATCAGTTCTGCATACTGTTTATTTACTTTTATAATTAGATGCTGTAGCAGCAAAGATGAAATGTATAATATCAAAGTGATTGTGCAGCTGATATCAAATTAATAAAGGATGAGCCTGAAGGCAGGAGCACTTCTCAAATTAAAGCAAGTGTGGAGATTTTTGTATCTGAGAATATTTGATAAAAATGTTATTTTCTGTACGCAATCATCTTTTATTTTAACTTCTGCATCAAGTTTAAAACAAAATTCAGTTGTGTTTTTACTTTATGTAGTATGAGATTTTGTTCAAGGGCATTAGGGAGTGAAAGATGCGAACAACACTCTTCTGCATGCATCATACACAGAAGCTTCAGAAGCGCTTCTAGCATTTCAGAGACTTCAACTAATACTTAAATTGGGGGAGGAGGGGCAGACTCTGTGAGGTAAGTACAGAGAACACATGACGAAAGAACAATCTGGCAGAAAGGCAGTTTTAATTTATACCATGTGCTAGTGACTAAACATCACACTGAGCCATAAAATGTAAGCAAGTTGCGTATGCATGGTGGTACATACATTTTAAGTCTATAGGGCTTTTTTTAATAACATACATATTGAGTATTTACAGGGTTGCACTGAGTATCAGCTTTGTGTGTTTTAAATCCACTGTTTCAGAAATGTGTCTTGCACTTTCTAGTCTCCAAACCCAATTAATGTGGAAAGGAAAGTAAAGTAATTAAATTTTGATATTTCAAATTAAAAAAAATAAACTGTTTGGAAATGTATCCTGCTAAAAGCATTTGTATGTTGTTACTTGCCATTGTCAATTACATTCTGTGTCTGTATGATCTGTATTCTTAGTGTACTTAATATGTATCCCTTACGTTACTTCATAGCCTTGGGAATCTCAATCTTTCTGCAGTAATTTTCCTCATGAGGTTGTCTGCGCAGATTCTTGGGGCCAGTCCTTGCTGGTTTCTACAGATGCTGGCATCTTGCTAATAGATGGTTAGTAAATGATCCAGTGTTTTTGTGTCAATTTTATGTATCTGGCCATTTTCTTGAAAATGTATGTTTATAAGGTCTGTTCAGATTTGGTATGTCTTTACCTTCAGGGATAGTTACCAGCCCAAGTGAATTTATTACATTTATGTAACCTAGTTGCAAAAATTCTCTGTGCACCAGAATCAAGCCATATTGGGGAGCCAACGTTAATTCAGGTTTTGAAATGTTTTGTTATTTCAGATGTTTTCTTGGCCATCTGGAAAGACTTATGAAGTCACATCCAAGCTCAAGAAGTGTTTCAATGGCTTGTCTGGGTATCTTAGCCCTTGATGATAGTGACCATGAAGCCAAAGGCTCATGTGACAGTGAAAGCTTGCTTCTTCCATAATGATGATATTGCTAGTTTGATCTCCTGTTTGCCACACAATGCCAGCAGGATTGAGGGAATGAAGTTAGTTCTCAGTGATAATTCCCAGACTTTCCAAAGGAAAGGTCACTTTTAGGCTTCATTTGCATAATCTGATCCATGACAATGATAAAACTCTCCCATGAGGAAGCATTGGCTATGATGCTGAGGTATGTGTAGCAGCTTTGTGCAGGTATTTTCATTTTCTTAAGAATACGAGGCTTTTATTACAAGAAAGAAATAGGTCAAAACCAGTGATTAGCGAGTTTTAGCAGGATTTTGAATAAATATGTGCTTCTTTTTTAGATGGTCAGCCGTCAGTGCAAGTATTTGATAAAACTCTCCAAATAAAGCAGATGCATGTGTTGGAAGCTCTGGATCTTTTGATTGCCCGAACAGACAAAGGTAGGAGAGGTCCTTGTTCTTTGATTCTCATATGAATGTGGCTGGTGCTGGGTGTGTATGCCTCATGAGGCAAATGTGTCTATCAGTGATAAGTATATTAGATGCCTCATTTAGAGTAAGGGAGCACATACAGCAACTGCTAGTATTTTCTGAAAGGCTGAGGGGAGGGCGTGGAAATCCCCAAATGATCTTTCATGCTTCCTTCAAGGTAAGCCTGAAACTGGTTAAATGATCTTTCTTCAGCCATTGTTGGAACTTGACACTCTTTGGAAATCACTTTGACTGAATTATACGTTTATTCAGTTGTGCAAAAATGTGAGGGAAATTACTTATGCTGTCACTGTTTTACCAAATGTGTTTTATTGGTATTTATTCTGTTAACTGTCACCACATCCTAGTGCTATAGAATGTATTTTCTCAAAGGTTCTGGTATAAAAGAACTTAAATGCTGTTTGGACTGACAACGTTTCCTTTTCAGCCTCATCTGGAAGCATTAAATGTGCATAAACTGTGTCCTTTTTTCAGTGAGGTGCTTTTTGCCCAGTAGTCTGAGATTTGAATTTCACAAAGTCAACATATGCAAAGCAATACCCAAATCCTTGAATGTAACACAAAGAATTGTAAATTACTGTTTTATGGTTTTTTACCACATTATGTCTATTTCCTCAGTATTGTCTGAAGTTACGTTTAGGGTAAAACATGGTTCCTTTTGTATCACTGGGAGTTGCCCAGTTTGGCTACACCTGATGAAATTTACCCTGAGACCTTACAGAACTGGCTCAAACTGAGAGCCATTTGCGGTTGTCTCTCCAGACACCTGGAGGGTGGGCGACATTTCTGAAGATCTGAAAAGGGTAGTTGTATTTGAAGCTTAGCTTGTGAAGCTTCTAGAAAAGATGATTACATTTAATTGCCAAAACATTGTACTGTTTGATTAAACCTGAAGAGAGAGACATAAGCAGGCATTTTGAAGTAACAGAACAAGCATTACTGGCATCAATTCATGACACTTCAAACATCGTCTGATAAAGTCTTACTCATGTAAAAACCTGCAGAGATTTTTAACTCTTGATACGGGTGCTTTCTGAAGCATTTCATACTCACTAGAATTCTGGCCTATTTTGTACTTGCATGCCCTATTGCAAGTAAGACCTGGGATGGAAGAAAAATCATACTTGCCTTTCATTTTCAGGTTACACCTCAGCAGCAAGAATTAAACAAATGATGAGATAGATGGCCAAAAGCATGCTCATACTGGGCTTGTAAACTAGGTTCAGAAACTGTGTGAGTTTTTGGGATAAAATGTTATATACTACAAGGTTAACTTCTTAAGCTTAACTATCAGCAAGAGCTTATTCAGATCAACATACCAAGAGAAGGCACTGAAGACACCAATACAGCATTTATCAATGACAGCAGCACAAATTGCTGTGGTAGCAATGGCCTCTGTTCTAATGCAGACACAGTTAAATTTAACACTACAGGAGGATTTTTTGGGACATAGGCTGGTTAATTTTTTCCTAGTAACGAGAGGCAAGGCACAGAAATGGATCTATTTTGTCCTCCAAACATGTATTTTTTTTGTTCCAGCTTCATTTTGTAAAATGCCTAGACACGAGGGCGAGGGAGGGATGAGGAAATGCTGCTTTGCTCGAAAGAATCAAGTCTGTACAAGGTTAAATAAAACTGAAAAATCTTGGATGATGGTCACTTTTATAGGCAGACATAGATAAATCTAACACTACAGAGGGTTGTGCGGAACATCTGCAAAAGAACTAGTATTATGAAAGAGGAGTGATGGATCTTAGAGGACACACTGATCGAAGAGCCAAAGCTAATTTAAACAACAAGGAAAAGTGAACATTTATGTCTGCTGAAAGGCAGGCTTGCTGTCAACCTGTGGGGTGCACATCTTATGGCCTATGTGGGATTTAAACCCCAATTCCTTTTTTAAAGCATATAAAACCATTTTCAGTGGAAGTAGTGGTCATTGCTCTGCCTTCATAATGAAGTGCCTGCCCAGGAAAGAAGTTATCATACATGTTATTCCTTGCTGCACACACAGAGCATCTTTACAGAGGTAAATATGGCATGTTTGATGGAAGCATAAAAGGGCTTCTGAAGTTTGGCGTAGCCCCCAAAAGTAACACTGCTTAATTTAGGTGGCAATACTTGCTCTCCCCTTTGTCTGCCTGTTGACAACTGTTTCTTGATTTGAAGACTGCAGACATTCAGATTGGCCAGAAGAAGTTCTTGAGTTTTGCTATGGGTACACAGCTGTAGCATTTTGGAATTGTTTGCATCACCCAGAATGTTTGTAAAATATGTAGCAGAAGTAGCAGCTCAGTTACTTAAGACTGAACACTACAGTTATGGCCGGTAGGAACAACTACTTAAAGGTAGAATCTAGGAGAAAACTGTAATAAATGTAGAATAAACTTTTTTCAGTCTAGCATGGCTGCACTAAAAACCATCTCTGATCTCGGTGCAGTTGATGGTAGTCACAAGAATTACAACTGATTCTACATCAGGAAAGATGGCCTTCCTTCAGGTCATGTCCTTAGCTACTTTAGCTTAAAATCAAAGTTGATAGAAATGGAAGAGCATTTTAAGGTGTTTGGTCATGTGTAGGTTTTTATGTATGTGATGATGTTTGAAAACACATGCAGCACCAAGAATTGTGCTGTAGGTGTAAAACAGTGGGTGAACATGCAAGTCCTTGATTATATTTCTCATTTCATAGCATTAAAATATTTCATGAATTTGAGAGCCACTCTTGATTCCCTTCGTATATAAAGATGCCACAAACTTGTTAGGGACTTTAAATTGACAAAAACTATCAGTTAGTTAGTAGGCAGCAACCACAGCCATTCAGTTTTGGGCATGGGATTGTAATTTGCCCTTTTCAAGAGTTGGCAACAAGCTGTGAGTCTTCCTGAGCAGATATCACATAATCATAAGCAGTTATTGCAAAGGTTGATGACAGGGCTAGTACTCAGTTAACAGAAAATTCTCACGATACGATGTTCACTAAGTGTCGTTATTTCTAATACTGACTCTGCCTTATGCCTTTTCTGAAGTAAAATCAGAGCCTCCTATATCTTTTGTTGGTTTCCCTAGTCCTGTGGGATGCTATCAAAAGTTGCTGTAGTTTACTGAGAAAATGTTGGTGTACAGACTGCTATAGAGCCCCATTCAGTTGCCTCCACAGCTACCTAGCTCATTTCAGATGATCATTGCTAGCCAGGCCCCAAATTATCACACCTAGCATAGAAGTTGATAGCTGATCAAGTGCTAGGGGCAAGGATGGTTTCAGAGAAGTCATGGAGGTTCTTGGATAGAGTGGGAAACACCTTATAGGCAGACTTACTCATCAAAAAGGGAAAGGCTTTGGAAAAGAGCAGACTAGTATTGCCAGGACTTGAAGTATGGACTAGTTGATCCACTGTAAATCTACAGCATAGTTTTATCTTTTGGCAACTTGTTTGACGTTACAAACATAACGTGCATTTTCTATGCATTGGTGGTTGTCTGACTAATAAGATTTCTCCCTACCACAGAAAACTATATTTACAGTCTTTGCTTGTTTGAGGAATTTACCGGATTCTGATGCCAGATTCTTCAGGTTGTTATGTTAGGAATAACTGACTGAACACCAAAGGCAGGACTAAGTCCGAAGAGAGACTGAATTGATGAGAGCAGTAATGTTGTCCTTGAACATTTGTCTTAGCTCATGTTTTTTTACCTTCCCTCCAAAAGGCTGCGAATGTTACTTGCCATTCTTCTTCCATGAACTCCTTCATAGATTCTTGTGTGCACACATTCTTGAAATGAGAAGGATTGAATATGTTTTATTTTCCTTTTGTCAGTAAGAATTTTCTCCCTGAGTCAGATTACTCAATGGTTCAAATTGTGGAAGACTTAGGGAAGCATTGCATCTTCTCTTCCACTTGCTATGGGAAAAGAAGGTTATGCAGGGGCCAGCTGGCCTGATTTATGTTGCTGTTCTCAGAATTGAAGGCAACACCCATGATTTTGCTTTTGCTGTTATGGTGGGATCCACACCAACCATATATTAAGGAAGCATGCTTAATTTTTCTAGCCATACAAGCTAGTCTAGTAAAAGAGACCACCTTTGTCAGAAAATCTTGCCTTGCTTGCATTTTAAGAAACTTGGTTTCTTAGATAAGAAACTACTCTTAAGTCACTCATTTCCCAACTGCAAATAGTAGTGCATCATTTATTTGTTTTAAATTTAGGGGTTGTGGATTCTGCTTGTATCTATCATTGTGGGAAACAAATTTAGCCATGGAAGTAGATACTGTATTATTTTTGCAAATGGAATATGCCTTGAACCTAACTTGCCTACCTTTGAAGAATTGGTAAGCAAAACTAGTCTGCATCCCAAAGGATTTCAAACTCTGTTATAGATTCAGGTATCAGCTGCTCAGATGAGTGGTTCCAGCTTTTAAAGTTTAACCCTTTTATTCTTGCCCTGCAGTTTTTATCTATTATATTTTTGCTACTTTGTGAAATTTTGTGTACTTGCAAAATAGTGTACATTTCATTGTTCTGAAGCTCTTTTCACTATTTGCTGCAGCACCACCTAATGGGAAACTCAGCTACTGAGCTGAAGGGATTGCTTACTAGAATTGTAAAGCCTAGAGAGTTAATGAGCAGTTTTGTATGACGTTGCAGCTTATCCCCAGAGAAGCAGCGTGTTTTATCTTTGCTCTGTTAGGTGCTGCTTCTCTTTGGAAGTATTGATTTCAAACTACCACCATCTCCATTTTTTTTTTTTTTTTTTTTTTTATTTCCTGGCTCTCTTCATCCTCCAGGGAAAGATTCTCGTCTCCTTGTCTTCAGACTCAGTGCTGTCCAAAAAGATATAGAAACAAAGCAAATGATAAGAAGCAAATATGACTGCAGAGAAAATAAACTGGAGAGAACAAAAGGTGATTTTATTATCCTGTGTTAAAAACATCCACTGTGGTATGATACCTGTAGTTGCCAGGGGCTTATTAGCTCCCTTGAGGCAGTTTTTAGGTGTTCACCTTTCAGTTTTATCTCTGGACACTCAATTCAAACTTTAAGTTTATATGTGAAAATAAGTCTGGTAAAGTCCAGCATGACATTTTAGAACTTTGTAAAAATACCGCATTACTTCGCATTATCTGCTGATGAAAAGCTCTAGAGAAAAACAGTTATGTTGCTTTCAGGATTGAGGGGTGTATGAGAATTATACAGGGATGTGAAACTGAAATAAAGCACTTGAAGTTGGAGGAACAGTGGCAAATCTCCATTAAATAGTAGTGCTTAGGTTAGTCTGGGTGTTGCCAATTATTTTAGTAGTCATAAGCATTTTCTGGTGTTCAGAAGCTGCTGTGGAAAACTGGAACCTGCAGAATAGTGAAAATCCATGTATTTAGTCTTTATTTTCAAAAAGATCAGAGTGAAAAATAGGTTTCAGAAGAGTCATAGCCTTTTGTATTTTCCTAGAAGTTATTGTTATCCTATTGGGAGGTTTGTAATTCTGTATTGGCGAAGTCACGCATCAGAGCCCCATTGTAATAATCATCATACAAATACAGGAGAAAAAAAAGCAGACCCTACCCCAAACACTTACAATCTAGAGCATTATTTCCTCAGGCTGCCATTTGTACGCCATTAATACTCACCATGGCAGTGAACTGAGGATTGTTGTGGCTATTCGGAACAAACTACTTCTCGTCACAAAGAAATATAATCCACGCAAGAGTTTAATCAGCAGCTCTCTGCTGTCGTCATCTGAATCTCCAGTAGAGGAGTTCCAGTACATCCGGGTACGTGTAATCTAATCAGTAATTACCTTAACAGACTGGGAAGTGCTCAGCTGGGGTGGGGGGTGCTGGGGGAGGGAGGGGAAGACAGAGAGCATGCATTTTTATCTTCCTGAACCTACAGACAAATAAAAGTGAGAAGCCATATAATGGAGTTTTATCATATATATGCCAAAGAAATCTTTCAGGTTTTTTTATTTAAGTTTCTGCTTGTTCTTGATCATGTTTCTGTGCTTAGAGCACATCCCTTTAAATTCATGGAATACCTGTAGCACCCACAGTAGCTGTTTGAAAAAGAGAATAATTCTGTTATTTACATTATAGGAAATATGCCTTTCTGACCCTCCAGTGGTTATGACGCTGGTGGATGGACCTACTGGAGACAGTGACAATATGATCTGTGTAGCATATCGGCATCAGTTTGATTTAGTTAATGAGAGTACCGGGGAGTCCTATAGATTGCATCATGTTGAAACAAACAAGGTAAGTTTTCATCATGATAATTATTTTCTTGCAGAACCATGCTGAACATAAATTCTTGCAGTCTCAGTACATCCTGTGCTGACCTCCTGGGAGTGTTAATTTATAGAGATCCTCATGTCTCTCTACTTCTATAACTTCTGCTTTAGGGCACCCTGAGACGTGTTCCTTTCAGGATATGTGATAATATTCACTCCCAGGACAGATAGTTACAAGGTATGACAAGCTAGGAAAGAGCCTGTGTTTCAGGCGCTGTAATATTGCTGTCAGCATACATTATTTTTTCTCCTTTTGTAGTCAGTAGTTTGCTATTTGCTTTTTCTTGGTGGTCTCACTGTTTTATTGTTTAATAAATTACAGCAAAATAACTTCAGTTGTTGGCCACTGGTATCTCATTCAAATTTGCCTGTTTGCATGTACTAAGGCTAAAATATTTACACGTAGCTTTTAGTTCTAGTTAAGAAACTGCTGCCCAGTCAACTAGAAAATTAACTGAATCTTTCTAACTAGGACATAGGCTTGGGGTTTAAGCAAATGTCTTGATTTTTTAAAAAGAGCTCTGGTATTTCCTGCTGCTGGGAGGATAATGATCTTCATCTCTGAAAATCAAATAATTTTAATTGTTTCTAAATATGGATGTGGACATACAGCTTCAGACAGGAAAAAAAAAAAAAAAAAAAAAAAAAGGAAGATTTTGCACAGTTAATCTTGTTGTTGTTTTTAACTGACTCTTTTCCTCATAATAGGGACTACTCTTTTCATTTGATGGTTCTTGTTGATAGGTTATTTTCATTTTAAATCATCTGTATTTTTATTCAGATCTAATGATGAAGAGGTTTGGTACTCCTACCATGGGTGATATTGTGTAAGATTCTCCACAGCACTGGAAATCTGTCTTAATCTGGATGAGGAGGAACTACAAGTAAAGAATGGGGATGGAGAAGTACAGCCCTCCCCACCCCCCCGTTCCTCTTCTCCCCAGGAATCCTTATTTCCTTTGAGAACGTAAATAAAATAGACAATTAATATGAGCTGAGCCAAGGATTTTTGTGATGTTGAAGTGAGACACCAAATTATTTCCATGGGTAACAGCAGAAATGGCTTTCAGTCACTACAAAGGATGGGTCAAAATGTATTTGGTATAAATATATAAACTTCAAGATCTGTGTAACAATTCTTGACCCATATAGTAATGTTAAATCAATAGGTGAACACCTAGCTTATTGTAAAAAGAAAAGTCAAAGAACTGCTGTTCGTGGAATCAGTCTCCAGCCCTTCTCCCTGCCCAAGTATTAAATGCTGTGGTCTGGGAAGCATTTGTATAATGTAATCTTACATATTTCACTAGTAAGTTCTCATTTCCTGAGCATATACCCTACTTTCTATAGCTGTTCTGGGTCTTTTAATCTAACTGTAGAAGACAAATACAGAGCTGAAATATGAGAATTTATGTAACCTATGCTATGTAAAAAATACTGTGGATTATCCAGAACTGGTTCTCAGTTTCTAAATTCAGCCAATTCAGTACATCCCTATTAAACTCCCTAAGCATTAGTGGTTTTGAACCAGTAATGGGTGCATCTGATCTTTCTGCCAGTCATGATGAGCAAAGGAGCTTTTTGGATTTCACTTTTTGAAAATAATTTTTATTTTTAGCCTATCATATTGATTCACAGCTGTCCTGAAATCACCCGATTTCCCAAAATTTGTATTGCCAAATAAGTTATGTAAGATTTTATTGCTTTATACTGTGGTCGTGGTATTGAATATTCAGCACTGTACAGAACTGAATACAAAATAAATTGATTTCTGTCCTGAGAGCATCCTGAAAGTTAATCACAAAAGAGGCTGCATTTGAAAAATTGCCTTTTTTTTTTTTCTTTTTTTTTCTTGTATCTGTAGTTGTGCACTCCCCCCAACTGATTGTGTTGCTTGTTAGTTGAAACCTGGTTCTAATAACCTCAGTATCCTCTACCTATTCATTAGCCTTTCCCATTATTATTGCAGGTTAATTTTGTTGCAGCTATTGATGTATATGAAGATGGTGAAGCTGGTCTACTGTTGTGTTATAATTGTAAGTATTTAGGGTAGACCAAAAATGGTAATACCTCGCTCTGTATATGTAATTATTGTTTCATTGGAGTCTAGATCTGTATTTTAAAATAAATTTCAGTGTTTCATGGAAAGTTTTTCAATATGTGTTCTTTTGAATTTAAATGTGTATTAGAGACTAGGAATCAAAGTATTATTTCATTGCAGGGTGTTTTGAATTTAGGCATACTAGCTGTTAGCTTTTAATTTCAGGTATATAGATGTGTATCTATATAGATGTTACCACCTTACAAAAATCCTATTTCTTATGATCTAGCTCATTCTTTTGGTAGTTGCACAGTTACTAGGTGTTTTCAAGACATGTACAATTTAACATTCCACCCCTTTTTCCTCTGTGTGCTGTCCCATTCAGTCTTTGTGCTTTTTCTTCTGCCTACTACTTGGCACTGTTGCATTATTTCATTGTAATTTTCTCAATCTCCTGTCATAAACTGGCTTTGGATATAACACACATATGCTCTGCTCTGCACTACACAGGTACTTTTCCTTCTGATCCTTGTGAAAATAGAAGCTCTTAGCATGAAGCAACCTTTATGGGGCAGTGCTGAAGGACAAGGCGCAGCTTTGTTGCAGAGGGCCTTTCCTGTTTGCCTGTCCAAAGTGAACACAGGTGGAGACAGGATAAATACACCCGTGTTCAGCACTGGCTGTCAGATTGGTACCACAGAGCAAGTTTCAGGTGTCTCTAAACTGTATCTTTCTATGCTCTGTGAGGTCTTATTGATTCTGGTAGCTTGCCCAGATCCTACCTGGTTCCGGTTCACTTAACAATGCTTCAGAACTACAAAGCCATCTGACGGAGCGTAATGAATTCCCACCTGTATGTCTGCATGAAATCAGTTCCGCTTGCTGAGTCAAAGCTAACAAACTTAGCTGATCTTAAAGTTACAAAAACAGCGCTGCATTTTTATTGCTGAAAGTATCATCATGGAACAGATATGAAAACACAGGATATGGCAGTCTACTAAGTTTTTATTTAGAAAAAGACCTGTAATACATTTCTGCATATAAACTTTGATGCAGTCTAAGGACATCAATTACATCAATTAAGGAAAAAAATAGAATTTTGCCTAAAAAAATAGAAAAGAGCTGGAAGCAGCACGTATTTGAGTGGGTCACAGATGTTTACCTGGAGCCCCCAATACACTCATATGAGTTTGTCAAGGAAAAAAGATTACTGCAATTGCATCTCATCTTTAAGCTTTCTTTTGTTTGCCGATACGACTTCTTAAGTCCTGAATTTTTAATAGATGTTTGATCAGCACTAGTGCGTGTGTTTCAAGAAAAATCTATTGATAGTGGGTTACGTTTCTATTATCTAGATCTAGCAAATTAAAAATTCAGAATTGCGATGCCAATAAGAAGCTGTATAAGCCAGCTGACTCATACAAAGACTGTTAATTTCAGAATCAGTGGACTTCAGCAGCTAAGAAGTAGATTCACGGGTTATATGATTTACAAAGTCTTTGTGTCTGTAATGTCCTGTGTGTCTAACAGGCTTCAAGGAATGTAAACTGTGCTAGCATATGGCTGCTTGAAGGGCAGAGAGGTACAGTTCTGTTGACACTGCTTTCTGAATTTTTCTTGCATGTTCCTTTATCCATAGACAAGGTAAGGAACTGGTAACTGTTGAAACGGAGTAATACTTACTTTGTGAAATATGATAACTTATTAAAAGGTAGGTCTTTTTATTTTGATCTTTCAAATGCTGTGTTCACAGGGGAAGCACATTTCCCTTATCAGTTTAAATATAGAGGGACTTCTACATAAATTCTTGATTATGTATGTAATGCCCACATTTCTACAAAATCTGCCTATAAAGCTGGTGTTTGTCACTTGCAGGGTAAGGTGATGAATATTTCTTTCTTCTTTTTACCTACAGATGTTTGCCAATACCGAAAGGTATATCCTTTCAATGGAGGTTCTCCACTGATCCAGCCGTCAGCTTATGACTTCCACTTCAGCTGGAATCAAGTTCCTTATGCTGTTGGTAAGAAAATAACTCTTTTACTAGATGGCTGTTTTTTTCATTACTATTTAGGCTTGCACTTGGCTGTGAGTGGAATTACAGTATGTGTGCTAGGAATAAGCATGTTACATTCATGATGCTACTTTGGCTAGGTTTTTGCATATGATAATTTTAAAAAGTGGAGCCTTGATGCTAAGTTCTTCCTTTGATTAACTTTTTTTCCCTTTTTTTTTTTTTTTTTTTTTTTTTTTTTTTTTCCGGTTCTTCATTTTCCATTCAGTCTACATTCTGACAGGTGTGGAGAATTAAGTTTTCTTCAGGCTTGATGTAGCTCAATGTCCATCAGTATGTTAGACAACCTTTTTCATAGGAAAGGGAGATACCAGAAGAGGTCAGATGCTCAGGAACAGTTTTCATGGAGCATCCAAGAAACTTTTACACTAGCCATTTTTCCTTGCCAAATAATTTTTGTTTCATTACAGTCTGTGCTTTCCCTTATATCCTTGCCTTCACAACCGATTCCATTGAGATCCGATTAGTAGTGAATGGGAACTTAGTCCACACAGCAGTCGTGCCTGACCTTCAACTTGTAGCATCAAGGGTAAGACACAGCAAAATCACGTTTGACTATTTCTGTGATATGTTGGGATCTAATTCACATAAAAAGTTGCTGCACTGAAAAACAAACCAAAACTGAAACATGTGCTATTTAATTGATAGTAGCTGTTCATCTGTGTGCTCTTAGTTTATATTAAGTACAAAGAGTCAGAATTGGTCTCACTGTCCTTTATTACTCACAGTAATGCAGATCAGAGATGTTTATGGGGCAGATACTATCCTCAGAATCACAGATGTTCACTTACAGTGGACTAACCTTTCCATGACCAACCCTAGTTGACTTAGCAATACAGCAGTAGTGACAATAGAACATAATGGACAAACATTTGAGCTCTTACTCAGAAGACGACTAGGAAAGTCTCACTGTAGTAATGTTGAGTTATTTGTCGTTTCAGTCAGATATTTATTTTAAAGCTACTGCTGCAGTAAGTGGATCATCTGACAGCAGCTCTAAGGAAATGAGTTCAAGGAGTTCTCCTCAAACACCAACAGCTTATGAAATGCCAGAATGTCCTCTTTCTTCTCTAGAAGGTAACATGCTTTTCAGGCAGCTTGAATAATGATCTCTGATTATGCCAACATCTATCACATATCAATAAAGCTGATCTTTAGTAAGATGAAATCGATCAGGTAGATGTTGAGTTCCTAGCTGAGAGTCTGGAAGATAGAGATCTTCTATTTATCCACAGGTATGAAGCACCTGGCTGAGCTTTTGCCCTGTAGTATCTCTTCTGAATGCATTAGTAGCACTGTTTTGAAGAAATCCTTTCTGTAGGAGGGGAGGAATTAAGTTTCAGTAGTTTGATGAATCTTTGGAAATATGGCTGAGACTAACAATGCAAAAAAGAACTCATGGGAAAACTTGAGATTTCACATACACTGTTCCTTTCATCTAAAAAAAGCTAAACTACCACTGGATAGTTAAAGCTCCTTTGCGAACTGAGAGTAAGAAGTAGTTCTAGCCTTGAAAGAGTTTGCACAGTCGATTTAGTATAACATGATCTGTGAACAGTTTATAGGGGAACAATAACAGAGAAACAAGGGAACATCAACTAGATAATGCAAGATGCATGTATATCTTCCTCACTTAAATCTGCTGCTGCACTGTTGGCAGAAGGGGAAAGGAGAAAAGAATCACAATTTCAGTTTTTAAAAGGCCGTGTTATTTGATGGCAGGTTGTTGGGTTTTTTTCCATGAACTAGGAAAACACACGGTGTTTTATGTCACCTAAGATGAGAAGTCATAATATAAATCACTTGGGATCCAGGCTTCAATATACTTGCAACATATCAAAATACATGGGAAATATTACACAGTGCAGAGTCATGGTATAATAGTCAGAATACCCGCATCAGGGACATACAAATTCACTTCCTGGTTCCATGGTTCCATTGCTGATTTATCACATTGCCAACAGTCAGTCGTCTTTTTCTCTCAGTCAAATTGCAAGTCTGCATAATGTGATTGTATTTCTTCCTCCTCCTAGCCTATTTATATTGAAAGATCTCTGGGGAAAGAAAGGTCTTTGTTATTTGGGTTAAAAAGCACCCAGCAAAACGAGTATAACTTTTCTGTATAACTTTTTGTTTGGAAGTATTAAGAACTGACATTCTTTTTTTCCTTCTGTGTTTCAGGTGAAGTTCCATGCAAAAACTTGTATAAAATTCCTCTCAGTAATCTGGTTGGGCGAAGTGTTGAACGACCTCTGAAGTCACCTTTGGCTCCCAAGGTCATCACTACTGCAACATCCGGTGGCATTGCCTCACTTCCAGTTACTCACTCACTATCCTTATCTCGTATGGAAATTAAAGAAATTGCAAGCAGAACACGTAAAGAATTGCTGGGTAAACTCTCCTCATTCTTCAGTGTACTTAGCAATTGCTAAGTGTGCAATTTTTGATCTTTGGACCCTCACAGTCTGATTTGTAACATGCAGCCAGTATTCATGAATAAATAGTATAAACAAACAAATGAAACTGAGAAAAGATTATTTGCAAATAGCCTAGCCAGCATCTGATCACATATAAGGTGACAATATTCTAAGCCAAGCAGAAGCTATTTAGTTAACGGTGGAAACCAGTGACAAGATACCTTAACGTTTTCATGAATGCTTTATTTTCTGTTGAGAGTATTAAGTCTTTTATTCCTTTTATTGAGGCCTCTTGGATGAGCCTATACCCAAGACAGAAAGTGCACAGAAGCAGAAAAAGGTTCCTCGAAGACAGTCAGACCCCAGGCAGAGAGCAGTAAGATCAACTAGTAGTGACAGGTAAATATACTGGCTTTAGAAAAGGACCTAAGTTAGACTGTAAATGTTTTCAGAATTGCTCATGCTTATCTATGTTAGCATGGGGATGACTGAGACCTTTGTATACCAATGTGAATTTCATGCTAATGTGTTCACTGGAGTATCTGAATACTGTAAGTACTGAGATTATTATACTCTTTTCTAAAGACATGTTAATGAGCAAAGCAAGACTATGTGGGATTCTGTGGACACCTGCTGCTGCTGAGTCTGTCGTTAGGATTTGGACTACTAGATCTGGACTGTGCAGGCTTGCTTGCTGTTTTCTTCATATGATTTTGTGTTGCTAATTCCAGAATAAATTTTGCAAAGAAGCACGTAGCATTTGTCAGTTTGACTCTGCTTACCTGACCCCACTGCCATTCTCTTCTTTTCACTGCTTCATAACCTATGTTTATGTAGAGTAGCGGCAGAATTTGGCTGAGATACAGTAGACTGAGATCAACAAAACAAAACATCTGCTGCAGTGTAAAACCATATTTTATTTATTTTGTTATTTGGAAATTATTTGGATGAGGGTCTTCATTAACATTGCCTTTTGATGATTTTCAGTAGTGTAAAACAGAGAGAAACACACTTTTAATGGTCTGTCTCTGTCTTTAGGGTAATTTACTTGAATCTAGAAATAGCAATTGATCGTCCTTGCCCTGACCTGTCTATTTTTTTTTTAGTAACTTTTGTCTTCCTCTTTGCAGGTTAATCTCAAGCTCTTTTGAAACCTATTCTGAAGGACATCATCTTTCCACTAGTTCAGATCCCGATACTTTAGCAAACAGGGAGGAGAGCCCACCATCTAGCAATCCATTTCAGCTGATTTCTTTATATGATGAAGACATCATTGACTTGAAGTGAAGACAGTCTTAAAACCTTTCTTCCTTACTTCACATTTTCTTACAACTCTGTGAGCTCTATAGGAATGTCACAAACACTGCTTCTAGTAGTAAAATGTGGCTGGAAGTATTGGTGATTAATCTTTATAGAACCTATGTTCTGGCTAGCTCAGCCTGGTTTGGTGATGCTTATATCTTTGACATAGGTATGTTTTCTTTTTTCAGTTAATGAACCATTACTTTTTGTGGCATTCTAACAGTAGGTAATCAATGAGAAATCTAAGCTGAAACTGAAGTAAATAAGAGGTATTACTTGTTCTCAGTTTCTTCTAATTTGAAGTACCTGAATGACATTCAGCTAAGTTAATTGCTCTTACTACTATCATGAGTTGTTTTACAACAGTGTATGTCATGTGGGAAGAGGAATTTTATAACATAAATCACTCATTTTGTTTTTTCAGTCTTTAAAAAAACAAGCAAAACAAAACAACCACAAACAAACAAAACAAAACAAAACAAAAAGACTTGCAGGCAAGGTCTTTCCAAACGGTCCGGTCTGTCCCTGAAATGATGCAGCCGTGGTATGTTCACTGAAGAATCAGGGATGTTCTGTGAAGAGCAGGTAAGATATGAAGATGCCGCTTTCTTTGCTCTGGCCTGTCCATGCACATTTTCTAGAGAAACCTGAAAACTGTTTTGGCATTAAGAATCCTTGAGCAGAGAGACTTTTTATAGAAAACAAAAAACTTTCAAACTTTCAAAATATTTCTTAAGAATTGGAAATAAAAACAAACAAACAAACAAACAAACAAACAACCCCCCAAAAAAAACAAACCAAAACAAAAAACCGGTCAACTGTGTTTCTCCATCTACTGGAAAACTGTTATTGTAGTGTACCTACAGATTTTCCCATGACAGGCAGAAAAGCTAACCCCTGATTTTTCTTTCTGACTACACAAAGATTCCTATGCAGGCATAAGCGTTAGCTGTTGTCTGCTCTGGCACCAACCATGTAAGTCATTATTCCAGATAATCATATTTTTCTGCCTGGATCCAGACTGAAATTTCACTGCTAAGAAGCTAGTTTTCTATGATGAAATAGTCATCTTAGATTTTTTTTTTTGTTATGTTAAAGGACAAGGTTTAATGTTTGAAGCTTGATTATTTTTTAACACTTTCCTCTAGGCCAAAAACACATTTTAAACTATTCTGAAAGGGGTTTGGTTTGTTTGGGCTTTTTTGTTTTGTTGTTTTTTTTTTTTTTCATGAAAGCGTGATGCTTCCAGGCTTTTTATATATGAAGATTTTAGCTTTATTAGCAAGTATTTCTTGTTCTACATGTAGAATACTTCTGTATCTTTGCTTTTATTTAATAATACTGTCCACGTGTCATGATTTCACTTTCTGTCCAAGTATGACCATCTGGAGATGTGTGCCTTTTGCTTTGGTCTGTCTGAATGTAAAACTGTTTTTGCAAAGTGTTTTTTGCTCTGTTTATTGTATATAATGGCTTAATTGCTCCACCTAAGAAAATATGCAAGGCCTTATCTGAAAGGATAATTTATTACTCTCAACTGGAGTAGGCGATCAAGGAATGAAGCAATATTTTCAACAGTGATCAGTCTAGGAGCAGAAGCAGTATTAACCGGTGGCTACTATTATTTTAGTATTTTTGCACCCATGGATGTGTGGGGTGAACCTTAATAAGCAGCTAAAAGGAAGTGCCAGCTCAGTCTTTGCAAGAGCTTGTAATTCTTTTTGAGAATATTATTTCCACAGACTGTGTTAATTTACCCTGGTTTATTCATCTGGGCAGCTAAGCTTTACAAAAAATCAGTCTGAAAGTATCATGTGGTGTTTATTCTCCTGGAAGTTGTAAACACTTCTGTGAACTAACTGAATCCACTTTAAGGAGCACTGCTTACACTTAGATATTTTTAGAAAGCAAAAGCACCACCTTTTTCCATGAACAGGTTTCTTGATGTAGTATTTAATTTCTGTTATGTGGGTGTTTTTGACGACTGTACCGATCTGTTACAAAACTGGAGCTTTAGTTAAAATACAACTTTAATGGGAAACTTTGCAATGTTAGGATATCAGATTTTAAATATATTGCAGATGTTCACCTGTGCAATTCTAACATGATTTAACATGATTAAACCATAGCTCGATAGCAATTGAAGCAATATATGGAGATTTTAAAACTTGAAGAACCTGAACACACATTTAGGTACCCTGAAAGACAAGCCTTAGAGATGGAGCACTAGGGAGATGAAGAAGAATGAGGAAAGCTTGACAGAAAACTTGACCGCTGGCTATGATGGCAGTCGGAATGCATGTAGATGTGGCATTTGCGTCACAACCAAGATACAATTATAGAAAGAGGGGCCATAAAGCAAGAGTGGGTTACTTCAACCAGAACCACATCAGTGGCTATAAAGTATTGCTGTAAAGTAAGAGCGCGCGTGTGTGTGAGAACCTTTGGATGTCTACCTGCAAGCACAGCATGGATGACATCTAGCAAATACTAACAAACAGCAAAAGGACTGTAAGGAGTACAGATTAACTTTGATTCCTCTAGCTAGACAAAACCAGATCCAACTAGCTTCATGGTACTTATCTGGAACAGGATGTTGGTTGTTGGTATAGTTTGGAGAGAGAAGCCCAGCAACCGTCCTCACCCGCCACCTCTGACCTGAATTTTATGCTATAGCTTGACTTAATGAGTCAAGTGCAAGCTGTTACACCTCACAGTGGGAACTACCAGACTATTACTTGTATAGGACAGGAAGGATCTGAACTGTGGAAAAAAATTACCTGTCTTAATTCCTAATGTATGCAGTAAGTGCCTTAACAAGGCTGCCACTTACTGAGTTTTTGCTTCTGTAATTAATCAGCATGGCTTGCAGAGATGTAGGGATGATACTAGACCTAGCAAAAGAAGTTGGTAGGGATCAGGCAACATTAGTTTGATTTATATGACACCTAGAGATGGTAGCTGAGGCTTTAGGTCATGTGATGTAGTTTACTACCTACTTACTGTATGAGAGAAGCCCAGAGTATACGTAGAAGGCAGAGAACATGGTAGTAATGTTTTGATTTTGTTTGACAGAAGCCACAAGAACCAAATTCTTGAAGGTCTTTATCACGTTTGCTGTATCAAAAACAAAATATCACATAATAATGTGAAATTGCTGGCACAACTGGACAAATACCCACTGTACAAGAATGTAGTTTCTGTGGGCTCTTAAGTCTCATCAGGCCGCCATGAGTTACATGCCTCTTAGTGTGCTGAGTTGGCATCCTCTGAACCAGCTTCTAGCCACTGTTTCTCTCAAAATAATCTTAGATCTATACCATTCAGCCTGCTAATTAAAATCAAAACAAAGGACCAATGGTGGTATTGATCTATAAGCTCTTGTGTGTCACTTACAAAGGGCAAGGTTTTTATACAGCTCTACAACCTCTCCTACTTCAGACCAGTGTCAGATGACAAGGCCCGTTGATAGGTTACTGGGATGGACAGCTATATTGTCGTTCACTCCAGCCTTAGAGCCATGTTGTTTCCCCTCTACCTTGCCAGCATGTGCATGCATCTACTCATTAAAACTTAGAAAGTAGTCTTGGGCACAGATTGTAGCCATGTCCACCCTAAGCACAACCCTTCCTACTTTAACTTCTTATGTTAAAGCTGCCTTTAGCCTGCATTCTTGGTGTTGGCTGACCATCTCACGGTTGAGAGAAAAGATAATCTTTGAATCTACAGCTATATAAGATGGTGTTTTAATAGAGAGGAATACTGAAAAATCTTGCTGCAGATGAAAGAAATTCGTTTTGAGAAGGAAGAATTGTTGCTAAGTTGAGCACTTGCTATCAAGCCAAGCTCAACTGAAGGCCCGTTCTGGACTCTTATAACAGGTAAGTTTCTGCAAGAAATTTTTTCTATCACAACATGCTGGATTTGTTGGAGGAGGCAGGGCTCTTAACCCCTTCTGACTAATAGTATTGTCACCACTTCAGCACTGTGCCTTAGTCTGACTAAATCATAGGAATGTCATTTACTTTGGTGCATCAGATTGTACAGGCAATTAATTTAGAATGCACTCATGCCTTCTCTCCAGCATGGGTGACAATGCATGGAATAGTTGAGGTTGTACCACTGCAGATCATCTAGTCCAGTACCCACACCCATGTACCTCCATTCAAAATAGCGTTAAGTGCCATGTTGTTGCATTTTGAGTCTGTTCAAAATGGGATGCAACGCTTTGAGCTACCCATCATCTTTGTCCTACATTTGCAGTACAGCATGCATATAAACCATCACCACAGCTTTGAAGTGTCACTAGGACTCAGGAGCCCTGAGATGCAGGAGCTACGTTAATTCTTTCATGTACACATAATATGCAGCTCCTAAGGCTGAGGCTTTGAAGAGCCCTTCCCAAGGTCTATACAGTTTGGACTTTAAGAACTGTTGCAGACTAACAATCATTTTTGTCTAGCTTTGTTCTTCTAGTGGTAGAGCAGTACACCTCAATTTTATAAATGTTTAAAAGCAAGGAAACACTTCCTTCTAAGGAGAGATAAAGATGCACTTGCAATTTGAAAGGGCTAGGTGCTATTCATGGTAATGAGAGCTCTGGACTGTAGGTTGAATGGATGTATGGATACCTTCAGTTCTGATTACAATCCTTCTCTGGCTTGAGGCTGTTTTTTGTTTGGTTTGGCTTGGTTGATTAGGTTTTTTGGGGTTGGGGTCATTTTGGTTGGGGATGCAAGTGGCACCCATAATGGACAGAAGGTTTGCTGTCTGCTTTCACAGGACTCTTTCTGTACAAGTGCAAGCATTTGTAATTGATTGGTAGATTCAAGTTAAAATATGTATTGTATTTTCTTTTTTTTTTTTTTTTTTTTCTTAATACTAGGCCAGTCAATTGAATAAATTTAAGCAGTTCTTAATAGGGCAGGGGACAGGTAGCACCCACATAAAGTGTAACACTATTACATAAACAGTTACATGTGGTCAGGGTTGCTGCTTCTGACATTTACTTTCAGCTGCTCTATGTATATTTGACCATGCCACAGATTCAAGCTCATGCACGTTTTTGTAAAGGTGTGGGTCTGTAATTTGTGCTTGCAGATGCAGCAGCTTTCCCAGAGCTCTTGGCTTAGCCTGCATTTGACATATATAATCCTTTGGGCTTGGATTTGATTTTTAATATATATGCATATGTATGTATATACATATATATGTGTATATATATTTACCTTCTACCAAAAGTTATAAGGGATTAAAAGCCCTAAGCATATATAGGAATCTAAACTAATGTGATCTTTTGAGTGTGGGGGGGGAAATTCCATCTGCAAGTGACAAGGTAATTCAGAATCATTTTTTGTTGCCTTCTGTGTATGGAAATGAATACCATAGTATTGTTATTATTAACAATTCAATGTCATGGTTCATATGCACAGTGCTTGTTAATTCTGTTAAAGCAGTATTTTCTCAGATAGGCTTAGTGTGTTCTTGTAGCAGAACAAATTATACCCTGAGAACCTAATATTAACACTAGGGGAAAGCTCGTATGACAGTATGCAGAAACAACTGTACTTGCATGCAGGTTAGAAAGTCTTGTATACTGCCTAGCTGCTTCACTTTGTTGCTGACATGCAACTGACTTATTCCTGTTTGTTACTGGAAATAAGGATATTAGCACATGATTTGAAGAGAAAATTTAAAATATTATTTTCAGCATATTTGTAGCTCCATTAGGTATTTCTTTGGTTGAATGGAAAATGTTATGTCTCTAAAGGTTTATGCAAAAAGCGTTATCAACCTGAAATGTCAGTTTTAGCTGTCTTTGAATGTTAGCAGACTGCTTTTGTAATGTAATAATTGCATCTTGTAAGACTGTGGCTACATTTGTGCTCAAAAACTCTTTACCACTTGTCTTAAATGCTGGTGTATTAACATTGGTTTTAATGTCGTGATAGTGTGTACAGTTTGTGGATTAGATAATGACATCCAAATAGAAACAGTCCTGTCACAGCTAGAACTGTTTTAAGTGCCATTTATCACCCTTGTGAAGGAGTAACAGATGACTTACTTATTCCTTCATATGTAATAAACCATAAATTTGACCTCACATCTTTTACACATGGCTTTTCCAAATTCGGTTCATCAGACAAATTGAAAAGGAGGAGGTAATACACTATTGCAGACAGCTCTGAATTACTGTTTCCATTTGAGTTGTCTAAAAATTTTGTTTCAAAGATATCATTCATTTAGTGCTACATCATACTTGTGAGATTGGTGGTTTTTGTCTTAAGCGTTACCCATCTTTGACAGGAACTATAACCCAGCATTGGTTTGTGGTTCCAGGTATCTTTTAGACTTTCATAGACCTGCTCCCATTGGAACACCTTAAATTAAAACTACAAGAGAGAGCTTTTCTCCTTTTCTGGCCAAGAGTATATCCCTGCTGCCTCCAGGACTCTAATTCCTTTTGGAAAAGCAATGCTCTTGCATTGCTTTTAAAATACATTCTCCTAAGAGCTACAATCCTTCTTGTGATTGAAATGCATTCCTATCCAACTTAACACTAGCATCCATGAAAGCCAAGCATTCATCTCCAGTAGGGACCAAGACTTATTCCACAGTCAGGTATCCCGGAAATAGTAGCAGCAACACAAAGGTAAAGTACTGCAGTCTAACATTAGCCAGGCTACATCACTCATTCACTGTAACAGAAGGGAAAAGTAAAGTGGGGCAAGGAAGTTTAAATTTATTTATTTACAAAATTAAATCTTAATTTACAATTTAGAAAAAAGATACTGGCCAATACATTTAACATTCTTTGCCATTATAGTCAGTCTGCACCTGGTGTAAAAGAACACAGGAATCTAAGAAAAAGAGTATGTCCAAGATCTGCACATGGGAGATTTACTACAGGGAGTGTGCAAAAGTATGCAGATTCCCACAGATAGTTTTTTAAAAAACAGAATTCAGATTTTACAAAATTCATTAGCAAGTTTAGTAACTGAGATTTCTGCCACATGATGTAGTTAGTTTCAACCATAGCATCATAATTCATGATATGAAGGTTTACATATCAATATAAAAAGCTTTAGGCTTAAGATCTTCTGAAGTAGGCCTCAATTTGTTCCAGGGTCTGTCCTTTTGTTTCAGGAACATAAAAGGCTGTAAATGTTACATTGAGGCAGCAGAAGGCGGAGAAGAGCCAGAACGTGCCATAGGATGTTAAGAAACCCTGAGGGAAGGGAAACAACAAAAACCACATTATTACAGCTCACTATCATACAACTACAGCCCTGTATTGCCAGAGAAGACTGTGGCTCAAGGGTCTCTTAGGAGCATATTTAATAAATTTCCCTATGAAAAGAAACTTCAGATTGTAATTTACAATGCTTACTATTAAATCATTAAATTCTTTGGTTACCAAGAAGGCCATAAACCAGTTTGTTAACACACAAGCACCACTTGATATGCCTCTAGCTTTAAGTGGGAAGATTTCAGATATCACCAGCCATGGAACAGGACCCCAGCCAAGGGCAAAACCTGCAATTACAAACAGAAGACAATAAATGCAAGTAAAGTACATAGTAAAGGGAACACTGAATGATGCCCAAATTAGTCAAGTAAGGGGGATGGAGTTTTCACTTCAGATTCTTGGATGATTCCAGTAAAACAGTACCTCAGAAAGAAAGAAAATGTTATTTTAGGGCAGCATGATAAACACTAGCACATTTTACATTAGGTTAATTACAAAAATATTCTTGATAAGCAGAACTTCTTGCCACAAAGTCTCTGAAGCAGTAAGTTTAGAAGCTGACCTTGTTTCTAACTGCTGCTGCTGCCTTATACCATCACAGAATTCAGTGTGGCCCAGGCACTAACAAAGATTGTTTTTTCCATTAATGACTGTAAAGCAGTTTAACTTGAGCAATTACTACTTATTATTAGCACAAGGAGGTATAAATCCATTTTCCAGGTAATTCGCTTAACTAAACTTCTAGCTCTATCACTGAGGTTGTGAATGCACAGCCCAGCTTTGCACTGTACACTGAAAAGGTCTGTCAAAGTCAGAACTCCTTTCCATTCGTCAATAATGTGACAAAATGGAACAGAAGTGTCACAGCATTGATCAGAAAGTTTGAGATTTGTGTAATGGCTGCTTTAAAGCCTGTTCCACTTACCAGCAACGAAGAGCCCTAGGCTCACAACTGCAAGCCAGGATAGGCTGCTTTCTGTGCCTGGGGATGCTGAATTTAGACTGAACCATGTATCAGGATTTGATGAGTTGTTTTGTTTTGGAAGGACCATTTTAAAGTAAAGCCCAAACAATGCAGTGCTGAGAGCCATGATTATCCCTGAAAAGTAAGCAATAACCAATTTGTCACTAGTTTCCGTTTGGGTATTCTTCAGAGACACAGAACATAGTTGGTCATCCAAATGTAATGTAGGCTGGCCCCCACAGAAGTGTTTCTTAAATGATACTGTTCTTGGAAATAAATACTGGCCTTAACAGGAGTGAAAGATGCTAGACAAGCATTCAGAATGCTAGCCAAACAGTATAGTCTTGACAGCAGTCATTACTACTGAGTGTGCAGCACAGCAACTCTATAAAACAGGTTTATATTTAGTACATGTACTTGAAGATTTTTAACTATAGTCTTGTGTAATGCAACACTAAAATGCGCCATGAAAGTAGCAACAGCAGACACAGAGAAATTACTTTGAAATAACCATTTGTTAACAACTTGGGTATGAAAACGTCTCATGACACTAAATCTTACTAAGCAGAAAAATTATCACAGTAGTAAGAACTGTCTCAGTGACAGCTGTTTCAAAATAAAAATTGGCCTGATAAGGGGACAAAAAGATAGCCAAATGTAGTTTCAAGGGGTTTTACCTACAGTGTATATAAAACATGATAGTTTCCTCTTACGAGTTTAAGTCTATAGTTATACCAAATTGTAACTATAAAGCAAAACACTTAAAAATGCAGAAATTGCAATACTTCATTCCCCCACCAGTTAAGACACTTTTTGGTTCTCTCTCTCTCTCTCTCTATATATATATATATATATAAAAATTTTTCTTACTGAACAAACTTCAGTAACATGTCTTACCAGATATGTAAAGCAGCACTTTTCGTCCAGTTTTATCTATGATAAGTGCAGCCACAGCAGTGAAACATACTTGTATGGAACCCACAACAACAGAAGCCATTCTGCTATCCTGAAATAAATTTGGGAGAATTTGCTGTTTCAGGCTGATAAGAAGATCACTTATCAAGCATTACAAATTAATCTGTTTCTTGAATCTGAAAGAAGACAAACTATGTCACAGAAATTAATGGTAAGGGGAAGGCAATAGGGAAAAAAAAAAAAAAAAAAAAGACATCACCAATTAACACAACATATTCTTAATAAACTTTTAAACAAAACAACTTATTCCTAGAGCTTCACTTTCTCTGAAATGCTGCATTTGCAACTCTAAAAAAAATGTACATAGAAAAATGACTGTAATAGGAATTCCTATCAAAGTTTCCAACAAAACACAACATACTTCCCCCACACACACACAAAAAAAAAAAAAAAAAAAAAAGGAACTCGCAGGTATGCCAGAGTAACACAGTCAAGAGGGTACACAGAATCCAAGAAAAAAAAAAAAAAAAAAAAAAAGTCCACTAAACCCCAAACACTGTTATTTATGACACAGGCAGGATCATTATCAAGTCAGTTTGTTACGTGTTTTAGTTTCAGCTTAGTGCTATAATGAAGTCTATTATAGACATTTGACAGTTTGGAAACACACCCTGATTACCTTGAAGTTTGCATCTTCAAAAATAGTTTCTGCATAAAACATAATTGCATTAATGCCTGTTACTTGCTGGAAGAACATTAGAGCCACACCAATAAGAAGTGGCCTGTATATTGAAGGGTTCTTAAATTCAGAGAGGTTCAGTCCCTGTTAAAAAGATTAAGCAATGCTTTGGTGAAAAATTTCATCTTTTAAATCACACAACAAAGCAACCCACAACAAAAAAAAAACCCTCCTCAGAGCCATTTTAACCTGTTCAAACTGTTTGCCACCCTGCCCTTTAGCAAAACTAAGTGCCTTAGCAGTAAAAATGTTTACATCTGAGGTATCTGAGAACTCCAAAAAAGCATTTTTTTTCCCCCTTTTCTCAGGTTCTGGAGACAGAAATTGACAGTACTTTGTAGAGAAAGTTAGCGTGAATGAATCCACAGTTTGCAGTAAACCAAATTTTAAGACCTGCCTATTAAGCACGTATCTCACAAGAGGTTAAACGATGCTTTTAGAGACACAAGAGAAAATGCATTCATACAGCACAAACAGTGGGAAATTAGTATTAGAGGTGTTGAACAATCCCAGAGAGTTGCTAAACAAAGCAAAAAACTAAATAGCCATCATATAATTAACAAGGTCATGAGCCCAATTGGTACTCATGTACACCGACGTTAGCCAACAGTGATAGCAGTTGCAGCTGAAAGGTAGAGGAAAAAGGTTCAAAGAATCTCACTTGCTTCCTGGGTATCATTTTTGTGAGGGAACACATTTGGACCACCATTTGCAGGAAAAGCTATTAACTAAGATCTGGTAAAACCCTTTTAATTACAGAATATGCTTTCAGATGTCACCACACAATAAGTTTTTTAAGAGTAAATCAGATTCTCATCACCTCTTCCCAAACACTAGCTTCAATCTGCGTACACTCCCATTCATGGTCCACATGCGGTCCCCGCAGAAAGCGCAAGGAAGCTATGGCTTCTGAACGTTTGTTCCGATTCAACAGAAATCTCGGTGTCTCAGGCATGAAGGACATGAAAAATAGCATTATGCAAGATGGAAAAGAACACAACACTGCCAGCCAGCGCCATTTTAGTGTTATTCCTGGGTAACAAAAATGAAAAATGAGGACTATGAACATCACTTAGTTGTACAAACAAATTAATATTTACTTTCAGTTCTTCAGTGTAGTTCTTTCATTACATGTACCATTTCCTTTTTGTAACCTAGAGCCCTAACCCCAATACCTGCAATGTAGGCTCCCACTATGCCAGTCACCACCATCAACTGAACACAAGAGCCAAGCATACCACGGACTTTAGGATGAGAAACTTCAGATATATACACCTAAAACATAGGGAGAAAACAGCTAGTAATTACTTACATCCAATTTTGGATTACGGACTTGATAACTAATTAATTTCTGAAAAAAACACAGGTGTATTTCCTAGTAACCCCCCTCCTTAGAAAAAAAGCCTCAGTAAAATGGAGTAGAAAAGTACCATCTCAGAAACGTATACTGGCATTATGAAAAACCCTGGAAAAAAGGCAGGATCTAAGCCAGGAGAATGCTGACACAGTACCAGTATTCCAAAGGTGAATAAACTTGTATTAGTAAGAGTTTCTTTTATTAACCATATTCAACAAGAAACGCATCATCACAAAGCAGTCTAGAGCTTGGAACAGTCTTTGCATATACATGTAGCGTAAAACTGCTTGCAATTAAAGTTTTAGATTTTTAATTCAACATAAAGAGTGCAAATTATTTAATTCTTCATGAGGTTCAAAATTGACAGCTCATCTTAACACAGACTATATGAACAGCATGCCACCTCATCCAATATTTGGGATCAACTTAAACTTTTCAGCTATTTTTTAATATACTGACCCCAAGTCAACAGCTACAGTTTAGCTGTATGCATAAAAAAGAAATCCCTCATATTTATATAAACAATTATTTCTACAGTCACAGTTCATACTTTTTCTGGAAGTAATCCATCCTTATTGCGAGAATAATTTAGAGCTATAAAAACCTGGTATTACATATGACACTCCTCCCTCATCATTGCAGTCACACAGGACTGTTGTGAGTTAAGGCCTTTACATAGGGGAACTTAGAGCTCCGTTGGTGAAACAAAGAGAAAACAGCCATTTGTAAAGCAGACAGAATTCCTCCAAAACCATTAACACAACACACTAAGCAACCAAGCTTCCAACAACAGAGAAGTTGCACAAGATTATCATTTAGACCCTACCACCCCGAATAATTTTTAGATTTTATTTTTATAACCTTCTAGATTGATAAAGAAAGAGCATTTATTCAATACTTCATTAGAAGTACTTCCTATCCTTTGATTTCTAGTTTGCATCTCACTTCAAAAGCTAGAAGTGCTGGAACCACCAGAAAAGAAGCAAGCTTGAATTCTAGGTGGTTTATTTCACACTGCTTCCTTATTCAGCTAGATCCAAAAGGTCAAATAATACCAGAGACGAAGACAGACAACAACAGAATGAATTCTCTCCATTTCCTTAATGCACATATATTCCTGAATGCACAGGGAAAGTTAATATTCAGAAGGTAATAGGTGAATGGAATCAGAAGGTACTATTTGGCATTGCTACAGGATGACTGAGCAGCCATAGTTTCTTAGGAAAAACAAAAAAATTGGTGAAATACAAGACAAGCGTCTGGTAATAGGAAAAAAAAAAAAAAAAAAACCCACACTCCTCCCCTAATGTTATATATGAGGTATTTTAAGATAAATATTACTAGACTACAGTAGAACATAAACAGAAGCAATCAAATAAAGGACTAAACTGAAAAATCACATCCCTGTTAGGAATGCACAGTACAGAAGTGACACTAGAAGAAACAAGTTTTGTTTTATTTCTATTTTCTTAATGATTGAAACCAAGCAAAATATGATTCTATAAAAATAGTTTCTTCGAAATCCACAAACTGCCATGGCTACAGTCATTCAGTTACTTCACCCAAGCCACCTATCATATTGCTTTGGAAAAAGAAACAAAAAAAAAAAAAAAAACCCACAAAAAAAATAGCAACATGTGCATGCACACCCAGAAAAACATCTTACTTACCGGAACAACAAGTGAAGTAATTCCACTAGCTAAGCCTGTTAGCATTCGTCCAAAATAAAGCATCCAAACATTCTGAGCAGATATAATAACTACATATCCAAAAACATATGGTATTGAGCACAGCATTAGACTCAGCTTTCTCCCAACTTTATCCACAAGATAGCCTCCTAGTATTCCTCCAGCAGCAGCTCCTAATGTTATTACTGACTTCAAAAACAAATAAAAAAAAAACATTATTATACATATATATGAATAAATATAAAAATAAACGACAGCAATTTATTTTATAATCTTGAAAAATAAATAGCAGATTGCTGTGGTTTGAAGCCACCGGCAGCCAAACACTACCCAGCTGTCCACTCATCCTCCTGAGAGATGGGAGAAGAAATTGGAGGGGTAAAGGAAGACTCGTAGGTTGAGATAAAAACAGTTTAATAATCGTAATAAAACAAAACAAGTGTGCAAGAGTATGCAGGTGATTTGAAAATCAAAATAAACATTAACTTCTTAATGAAAACATAGTCAAGACTCATCACAATTGAACAGCAAGTAATTTTCATATTGCACACAAAGCTCTTTCAGTAAAGAAAAAAAGCTGCAATAACTGTTTCTCAATCTGTCTACAAAGCTGTGCAATCACAAACAGGCCTTTCGAACTGTTTTAAAGCCCTAAAGAATTTGTTATCTTGACTAACCTGAAGTCCAGCCTGTATCCAAAAAGCAAATATTGCCCATGTTGATGGATTGCACTAATTTCTTAAAAAGTTTGTTTTTTGTTATCCCTTAACAGGTTCAACTGAGAAACACAAGAATGGTTAGAAGACATTTCAGCACCAAAAATAAGTTCAAATAATAGGAGCATTTATTAATATACGCTGAGAGCTATTGGAGCATAACAGCACTGTTACTCAGGAAACATTTGAATCACTGATTTTAGAAACAAAAAAAAGGATTTCATTATTAAGATCTGCATTTACCCTCATTCTTAAGAGGACTAAGACCCCATCACATAAGCAACATCCTGATCTATGCTTTCAAGTGAAATCACATAATGGTAATGCATCATAGAGACTTACCCCAAACCACGAGGCTTGACTGTTGTCCAACCTTAATTCAGGATCATTGATTTTCCTCAACTCTGGAATAACAGGTGAGCTATAGCCTAGCACGAAGCCAAAGCTAAGCGGTCCCAGGACAGCAGCAAACGTTGCCAGGTACAGCTTCTTGTTCTGCACTCTGAGGCAGAAGAGGCCGACAAGGATCACGACGCTCCCATCTCCCGCTTCCGACCCCTTACTAGGGCCGGTAATGGTCGGGCGGGCCTGGCAGAGGGCTCGACCCAGAGGTCGCCTCAGCCGCCACCCGCTATCTGCCGCGGCCGAGCTCCACGGCAGTCAGCGGGGCCCCTGAGCCCGCCAAAGCGGCGGGTCGCGGCGTCTGCGCTCACCTCCGGTACGAGTCCGAAGCGGGGTAACCCAGAAGGCAGCGAGACTCCTCTGCAGCCATGCCCGCCTGCGGGGAGCGCCTCAGCGCGGCCAGACCCAGCCACTTCTCCACCGGCCGCCGCTACAGGCCGCCGCTACAGGCCGCGTGCCCAGCCGCGGCCTCCGTCCGGGCTGTGCGGGCAGCGGCAGCGGACCGGGACCGGGACCGGGACCGGGACCGGGACCGGGACCGGGACCGGGACCGGGACCGGGACCAACCCTCGACCACGGCGTCTGGCGCGACGCTCTCCGCCCCCAGCCCCGACGGAAATGGCTAGCGTGGCAGCGGGGAGTGATGACGTCTAGGGGGCGCGCCGGAAGCTGCCTGATACGGAGAGCAGCAGGATCTGGGGAGCGCTCTTCCCCAGGGTGCTGGCCAGGTCGCCCGGCGCAGGGGCCGCGGCGCGGGGCTCGCCCCGCCCCTCCCGCGCCGGGCGTGGCGGAGGCGCCCGGTCCTGTCTGAGGGCGATCTCGTGCCGCGGGTGTCCGCGGGTTGTGGTGTGGGCCGCGGAAGTGCGGGGAGCCTGTCCTGCTGTGGGAGCGATGGCCGCAGGGAAGCCCCAGCCCGTGCCGGGCTCTGGGGCGCCGCGCGAGCCGTGGCGGCTGCCTGCCGAAGGACGCTTCGCGCCTGGACGCTACCTGAGGTGAGCGCCGCGGCCCACGGGACTCGGGCGAGCGGCGCGACGGCTGTCGGCAGCAGCGGCGCTGAAAGTCTGCAGTCCTCGCCGTGCGTTTTGCGTGCGGAGGTACATGGGAGCGGGCGGCGGGAGCGGAACAGGCTTGCCGAGTGACACCTCAGAAAGAGCCTCGTGCACGTAGCTCAGAGCACCGGTTTCGGGGCCTCACAGCAGCTCTTGATTTCAGTATTAGATTCATGTATTGAATACAACAAATGCCTTAGAGCTCACCTATTTTTTATTCATAAAGAGCCTTTTAGAAATTGTTGTTTGTTTTAAAGAGAACACATGCCTGTTAGAACAGCATGTATATTCACTGGCATATGTGCTGAGGAAAGCTGGTAAGTGCTGTCAGCAGTAAAGGTTACTGTATGAACTCGTGACTTGGTAGGAGGAGCTGTTTCTGTGTGTCTGACACCAGCACCTTCTTGTGTTTTTATCAGTAATTGCATGCCATGTACAGCCTTTCATAGTGAAGACTGTACTTTTCTGTACTACTATGCATGTTAAGAGGTGTACTGTAAGATCTTCCTCTATGAAGGTAAAATGTCTGTATAGGAATAAACACGTTATTGACTCCCACTCAGATTCCTCAATTCTTTTGGTTTGGGAGCTTCTATGAATTAAATTCAGCCAGTTGTCTATTGAATGGAATTAGATCTTCCAGAGAAAATAAATAATTATGGCTTTTTAACTGTTTGCCTGACGTTTATCTTGTTAATCACTTGTCCAAGCTTATTGTAGGAACTTGAGATGCCACAGGATAGTATAAATGCATACAGATTGCATAGTTCAGGAGGTAGTATTTCAAACTTTCAATTTCACAGTTACTTTTTTTTCATTGGAAATAAACTGAGAAAATAGGGAAAAAAACCCAGAAATTAAAAAAAAAAAAAAAAAAAAAAGAAAAAAAGTGTTTTGGTCAAAGCACGCAAACATGTCAAAACTGATACTAGACCAGCACAATCTATAGTCTTTACATGAGCCAAATAGAAGGATGGCTAACATATCCTTCAACATAATTTTTCAGACATCTCTGTATCTTATTTAAAAAAACCTACAGTAACCTGCTTTGTGTTTAAAATAGTTCAGGACAAAGGTGTAAGTTCTGTCAGTAACTAGTTTATCACTCTGCTTAGATGCTTTGCTTTCTTCCCTTTATCAGTATAATCCATGAGTATTTGCTATAATAAGTTTAAAACTTTAACCCTTAATTTACTGGATTCAGAATTTAAAGTGTTACCCTAGGACAAGATGTTAACGTTCATAATGAAAGCCAACATTCGCTAGCTCCACACAATTCACTTTTAAGTCTGATGCAGGACAAATGATAGTTCAAAGTGCATGCAAATGCTTAGTTCTAACCTAATGAATATTTGAAAATGCATTTGGTCACTTCAGTCTATGTGTTAACGTGCCATTTGGAATACTGATGTACCAGTAATAAAGATGTGATGCTTACCTTGTTTTCTGAACGGAACTAATACAGTATTTTGATGTATCACAGGTAAATTTTTCCATAACCTTATGGAGAAAAAGGACTTTGAAGCATGGCTTGATAACATTTCTATTACATTTCTTTCTCTGACGGACTTGCAGAAAAATGAAACTCTGGATCACCTGATTAGCTTGAGTGGAGCAGTCCAGCTCAGGCACCTCTCCAATAATCTAGAGATTCTCCTCAAGAGGGACTTCCTCAAACTTCTTCCACTGGAACTTAGTTTTTATCTGTTAAAATGGCTTGATCCTCAGACCTTACTCACATGTTGCCTCGTCTCTAAACAGTGGAATAAGGTTATAAGTGCCTGTACAGAGGTGTGGCAGACTGCCTGTAAGAATTTGGGTTGGCAAATAGATGACTCTGTTCAGGATCCTCTGCATTGGAAGAAGGTTTACCTAAAGGCTATTTTAAGGATGAAGCAACTGAAGGACCATGAAGCCTTTGAGACATCCTCTCTAATTGGACACAGTGCCAGAGTATATGCACTTTACTATAAAGATGGACTTCTGTGTACAGGTAGGAAGGACAGAAAACTTGGAGTCTCACAATTCTTTGTTTTCTCCCTGCCCCTACTCCCATTATGATTAATGGCAATTTGTTTTTCCTTTACCAGACATACTATTTTCATAGTGCTAATGCAGTTTAAGATGATTCGAAATTACTTTTTTTTTTTTTTTTTCTGAAACATGTGGCACACTAATAAACTCATTAGTCATTTTAATAGGAAAACACAGAGACCGTTTTCTTTGTTAGTTAAAAGACCTGTAACAGTAGCTTTCATGCTTCAGGTTAGGAAGCCCATTTGAGAAGTACAGATAGGTTAGTTATCCTCTTAAGAGGATCTCTGCTGTCCTTCCAGATTTGGTGGACTCCTTTCCTACCTGAAACAAACTAAAGCTTGCAGTATAGTCAGTGGCTCTGCAAACCTCTGAGTGATGTATCATGTAAAACTTCCATGCATCTGTTTCAGTAGACAATCAGAGGCAGTGCTGGCATCTATGGAAGGTGCTAAAAGGATATAAGGAAACTGGAAGGCCAGACATCTAGTAGCTTAATTAAAACAAGAGGCTTTGCTGTAGTGCTGCGACTTAAAACTAGGGCTTATTCCCCATTTATGCAGCTTGAAATTACTATTCAAAGAGAAAAAGTTCAACAAAGAGAAACACAAAGCCCTGCACCGGAGGAGGAACAACTCCGTGGCACCAATATATGCTGGGGGCCACCCAGCTGGATAGCAGCTTGGCAGAAAAGGACCTGGAGACACCAACTTGAACATGAGCCACCAACATGCCCTTGCTGCAAAGAAGACTTAACAGTATCTTTGGCTGCTTTAGGAGGAGTGTTGCCAGTAGGTTGATGGAGGTGGTTCTTCCCCTCCACTCAGCACTGGTGTGGCCACATCTGGAGTGCTGTCTCCAGGTCTGGTCTCCTCGGTACAAGACACAGACATACTGGAGAGTCCAGTGAAGGGCCATGAAGACGATGAAGGAACTGGAGCATTTAATATGAAGAAACACTGAGAGAGCTGGGACTTCTTATCCTAAAGAAGAGAGAGCTCAGGGAGGATCTTATCTGTGTATATAAATACTTGAAGTGAGGGAGCAAAGAAGATGGAGCCAGGCTCTTTTCAGTGGTGCCCAGTGACAGGACGAGAGGCAGTGGACACTCACTGAAACACAGGTGGTTCCCTCTAAAACACTTTTTTACAGTGAGAGTGACTGAGCAGTGAGGCTGCCCAGGGAGACTGTGGAGTGTCCATCCTTGGACATATTCAAAAGCCATCTGGTCATGATCCTGGGCAACAGGCTCTAGGTGGCCCTGCGTGAGTAGGGGGTTTGGAAGAGTTGACCTCCAGTGCTCCCTTCCAACCATAAACATTCTGTGATTCTGTGGAAATACTGTATTTAAGACAAAGATGGAAGACGAGTATTGGTCCAGAAATGTTATTTACTATTTGCTTCCAATTACCTTGTTCTTTTATATTCTAGGATCAGATGACTTGTCTGCAAAACTGTGGGATGTAAGCACAGGTCAGTGCATATACGGCATCCAGACACACACTTGTGCTGCAGTGAAGTTTGATGAACAAAAGCTTGTAACGGGATCTTTTGATAACACAGTGGCCTGTTGGGAATGGAGCTCTGGAGCAAAGACACAACATTTTAGAGGACATACTGGTGCAGGTACATTGAACTTTTCAATTTGTAATTTCACCAGTCAAGTAACATACATCATCATCAAACAAATTATAATTTAAGTTAGATCTCTGTACTGTAGCTTTTTTTTTTTTCTTATGGCTCTGGCCCAGGTCACATTTGCAGGGGGTGGGAGAAGGAGCAGCCAGAGCAGATCTAGATGTATCTGCATTTGAATAATGCCAAAGCTTAGCCATGTAGTATTTTGCAGTTGTATGGAAATAATACTAAATGCCATGGTTATTCAGTACTTTCAAGACTACCAAAAAGGTGCAAAGCCTAGGTAGCAGCGAGCACATGGCAATGGTAGTTCTTTATATCCCCAGAATGGAGATGAGCAGAGCACGATAGGACCTGGGAATCTGTATTTGCATTTCCCTCATAATTAACTTCTCTGTCCTCTACTGCAAAATATCCTCAATTCAGCTGTAGGTCTGTTCCCCTGTGAGTAATAAGATATATCAAATGTACTAATCCTGCTGGAACTGACTTAATAGAACTCTTAAAATAGGAACTAGCTTAAGTTAGGCTTTGCGATAATCCAACCATAAAGGAACCACTGATGTACATGCTCTTAATTTGGACAAAAATCAGTAATTTTGCAATTTAAGTTTAGGAATCCAGAGCAACAATTCACATACACAGTTCAAGAACAGCAGTTAAAACTGTAGTAGCATATTAATTCAGAGGCTACTAAGTTCGCTGCTAGTAGTTAGTGTCTTACAGAAAAATGCATGCATAGAGAGTGGTATTCCTTATTTAGTACTTTCTTTGCTTGTAGTTTTTAGTGTGGATTACAATGATGACCTTGATATTCTGGTCAGTGGCTCTGCAGACTTCACTGTGAAAGTATGGGCCTTATCAACAGGAACGTGCCTGAATACCCTTACTGGACACACAGAATGGGTCACTAAGGTGGGAATACTGATTTTTAATTAATCTTGAAAAACACGTACTTGCACTAACTTTCTAATATGTGTTCTAGATTTCGATTTCCTAATGCTAACCCTACACCTAGATGCAGAATCTGAAGGACATCAGGAAATACTGCAAAATAACATTTCAGCAGAAAAAATACTTAAAGAAGATACCATTAAACCTTTCAGACCATTAAAGATATTTCTATTCCAAAGCAGCTGGAACAATATTAGGAATCAGTGTTTGATTTAAAGCCTGAATAAAACAATGGTTCTGAAAGAAAGCTACTTTAAAAATTATGTAGAAAAACTAATGATCTTGATGATAACCAAAATCTGAGCGTGAAAAGTGTTCTGAAGACAAGAAACAGTATTTTTCTTCTGAGTATTTCAGAACTTGAAAGGGGGGGGGGGCTGATTCTAGAAGTGAAGTACATGTGTTTGCTTATTAATACAGGTTGTCAGTTAAATGAAAAATGCAAATGAAAGTTTGGTTAACAGCATCAACATAAATCATTACATTCTTCAATTACAGGTAGTTTTGCAGAAGTGCAAAGTCAAATCTCTTATGCATAGTCCTGGGGATTATATTCTTCTAAGTGCAGATAAGTATGAAATCAAGGTATGTACCATGTATCATATACATATATCATTTCAGTACCCAGGAAAATAAAATGCTTGAGTGCTTTGCTGAAGTTTACAAATAATATAAGACTTTATTTTGTCCCATATTCCCTGTTTACTGCGTTCAAGACATGCAACTTTGGAAGCTAACTTTTCAAAGCTTTCCTTCATGTTTAGATTTAAATGATAGCTCTACATGAATGGTAAGGGAAAAAAGTAAGTCCTTTCAGTGCATGCCTAATGTGCTAACTTGACAGTGAAGCACTGAACTGCAACTGTTACTGTTGGGGACTTTTGGATTGGAGGGTGCTGTAAATAATTTGTGGCTATGCAAGTGCTTCATGACTGAAACACTGTTACATTTCTGTCCAAATGGATGGTTGATTTTTTTTTTTGCTGTTCTTTAAAGCAGCCATTTTCACTGGGATTTTTTACAACACACGCTACAACAATACTGTAAGACAAGTCACTTAGTTTCTACCTAAAGGATAAATATTTCTGAAAAAACATGCACACATTTACCTGATGCTTAAAGAGAGACTGTGACTCTTACTCCATTTGTGTAATGGTTTAATGGTTTATAATGTGAATGTTTTATGGTTGTAAACTGTGTTTTAATTGTAGATTTGGCCTATTGGAAGGGAAATAAACTGCAAGTGCTTAAAAACACTGTCAGTTTCTGAAGATCGCAGCATCTCCCTACAGCCCAGACTGCACTTTGATGGTAAATACATAGTGTGCAGCTCAGCACTAGGATTATACCAGTGGGACTTTGCCAGCTATGATATTCTCAGGTAAATCTTTCAGTTTAAGTCTTAAGTCTTTAAATAATTAAGAAGCAGAACATATTAGTTTTAATAACTTCCTTTAGATATAGGCAAAAAGAATCTTTATAAAAATTCTGTAAACATCTTACTTTAGACATATTGCCAGGTTTAATTCTAATTTATCATCTATTAATACAAATCATTTGATTGCTGTTTTGTTTTCTCGCCACGGGCTAGTCCTCTTTCTTATTTTCATTCCATAAGCTGAATGGTTTCAATATAGATTTAAATCAGACTGCAGTGCTGTAGTTGTGAATGTGAAACTATAGTGACTAGAAGTTAATGTTGCCACGGAAACTGCTCTACAGAGAACCGGGCAACCATTTCTGGGGGTCCTTTGACAGGACAAGAAATTTAAAAGACTCTTTTTCCTTATACCACTACTGATTTCTCACGCTCAATAACACTGCAGAATGACAGTGAAATCTATCAGACTTCAGTAAGGCATCAAACAGAATGGTATTCTGTTTCCATAACAAGAACGAGTCCGTATCTGTTAGAAATGGTGGCATCAATGATTGTAACTTCTTAAATAAAAAACTGCGTTTTAGAACTGTTAGCAGACACTTCATTGAAATGGCCCCAATACTTATAGAGTATCTACCATAGGAAGATTACTCTAAAAGAAGTGATTCTTACCAGTAAGAATAGCCGAGTAATTTCACCTTAGTTTACCCTCCCGTTTTTCAAGAGAAAGATTTCTCTTACTACTGAGAACAGATTTTTCATCTCCATACATTTTTATGCCTCAGTTCTGTGCTTTATGTAATGCTATGATGAAATGCTCAGTCAGTTGTGGAAAACTTACTCTCTTCAATTTCTGTTCCAAGTTTTATTTATTAAGGCAAAAATATCCTAAAAGTGTAGGGGAACTGACAAATACTTCTATTTCTCCCTAAGATGAAAATGTGTAACTTCTGCTAAGCATCAGTAAAACAGCATTCTGTTAAGGACCAATCTTGAATGATTTATCTTCTTATCACAAGAAAGCATTTCTGTGTTTTATTTCCAGCTTTTAAGAGTGGTGGAAAGAATAATAAGAGGTTCTACCTCTAAACTTAAAGATATTGAGGCATGAAATCCCTATGGAAACTTCCTGTAAAACACAAGTACATCTGTTCTTTCATGTGTATCTGGAAACAAGAATTTTTTCTTCCTTGTGCTGTGCAGAATCCCTTTCAAACTCTAACCTTTACTTATGTTCAGAAGGGTCTGTCCTGAATGCACAAAGCTAGAACTGAGACCACGCACCTGACTGCAGCTAAGTCTTCAGTTGCTTAATTTGAAAAATTTGTATCCAGTTCTTTCTAAATCCTTTCAGAATTCTGAGTTTAAACGCTTATTTTCTATAGACACATAAGAGTTTGTTTTTGTAATGCTGGTTGATGACTATATCGTGACAGAGTTTCTAACAATGTTGTTTTGTCTTCTAGGGTTATCAAACCTCCTGACTTCTCAAATGTGTCCTTGCTGGGCTTTGGAGAGATATTTGCTTTACTGTTTGATAACAGATACTTGTATATAATGGACTTGAGGACAGAAAAACTGATAAGCCGCTGGCCTCTCCCAGAGTATAGAAAGTCAAAGAGAGGTTCAAGCTTTTTGGCTGGTGATATGTCTTGGTTAAATGGACTAAATGGCCAAAATGATATGGGCTTGGTTTTTGCCACCAGTATGCCAGACCATAGTATCCATCTGGTGTTATGGAAAGAACATGGCTGAAAAGCTCACATATGCAGAATCTTCAGGAATATATGGACTATCAGCAGCGTGTCCATAAAATAAGACTTTGCATGAACCAAAGTTGCACATCTAATGGTATCATCATGCAATGCACAATCATTTACTTTTATTTGGGCATTCGGGAATGGGTTGTTTCGGACATAATGCAATACAGCATGCTAACAGTATTCACCACAAAAATTTGTCTGTACTCATGTTTAAGCATACCTATTTGGTCTCTGAAGCATAGCTTGTAACATTTAAACCATTCAAATCCACCATCAAGTCTGAAAAGAATTAGTGCTTGACCTGACTTCTGACTTATTTTTTTGTTGTTGAAACAGAAGGTGAAGCTATTATTTTAGAACCACAGGCTTTTGTACATGTAACAGCAAATAGTCGTTACAGTGCATGGCTGCTTAACTCAAATGAGAAGATAGCAAACCATTTCTCCATTATCGTTCTCTTAAAAATATTTTTTCCTTATGATAGCTTTAAATACTTAGCCTTTGAAATAGAAGAATCAAATGAGTCCCAAATGAGGATCAGATGCTAACAACCATAGTTTAAGTATGGGAACGTGTCAATATGAACCCTCCTCAGCAAAAATGAGTCGACTTTTCATCAATCTGATACAGCCTGACAGTGCAATTAATCTCAGAGAACCTCTGACAGTATTCATTGTATTTGCTGATGGTAACTGAGGATGGCTTGATCAGTATTTTATAGTCCGTATTTCCTATTGTTTGTGTGAGAATATGACTTAGTTCATAGGTAGGTAGAAATACAATGAATGGGAAGATGATATTCAGTTCTCTACAGCAAGAGTCACTCTTACATTAAATGATGTCTAGCAGCCATTCACTTTCCAAAAGTTGCAGTTAATATAAATGTGCACTTAAAGTAGTTGCTACATCTAGATTTGGAAAGCAGGGGCAAATAACACTGAGAACGTCACATCTCTGGGGAGAAAAAAAAAAAAATCAAATGTCTGAAGAAAAGCCTATGAGTAGAAAAAGGTCTTTTGTTGTGACCATCATAGGAGACCTGATGTACATGAGTTAATTACTGAGTAACAAGTACCTATCCACATACTTTTGTGGTATTTGACATGTACGTAAAAGCTGTATCTAATGACATCACATGCTTTAGAAATGCTTTAGGTTGGTTTCCCCTCCTCCCTTACAATAAAATCTCCCCTTAATGGCTTTTTTTTTTTTTTACACAACTTGAAAACAGGAGTTTTCATGAAGATTGGCTCATGTCCTTGAAAAGATAAAACTGACTAGCATTACTATTGTTAGTATGTTGGCTTTTTAATTCCCACTATCCAAGGAGACCTAATTTCATACTTTGTACTGAACAAAGGCCAAGGTTCCCAGATGTATGCAGTATGAATTACACCAAAGGAAGGGGAGTTTTCATATACAAGAATCAGTATTTGAGTGATGTGGTAGGAATTGCATTAAGTCACAGTGGAGCAGTACCTCTTGAATACAAGGCTAGAATTTAAGTACTGTTTTCCACCTTTAGTCACACAAACTTACTTTGAAAATGTTTGTAGTCAAGGATTTTATCAATTGGATGCCAAATTCACAGCTTCTGATGCAAACTGGGGCACAAATGATGATCTCCTGGAGGTTTTGTTGTCTCACTCAAAAGTAAAGAAAACTTATATGAACCTGAAAGCTTTCCGTAACCTGTCTTGAAACCCAGTTCACATCATTCTTAATGTGGGAGTAACTATACTGCATATGATGTGTGCATTAACTCTTAGCTTACTCTAAAGAAGCCATGTGATGATGGGCCACCTAGAAAACATTGCATTAGCTTTAAAAGATTACTTCACAGCAGGAATTTAGACAGGAACATGCCAAAAATGTCCTTGTACCCAAATCAATGAACTATGGAGTGAATACCTGGACTGCTAGATGAGTGGAAAATGGGCTGGCCTGCCAAGCTCAGAGACTGGTCATCAGTGATACAAAATCTAACTGGTAACCAGTTAACAGAAGTATTCTTCATGGGCTAGAATTGGTTAACTACTTTATTAGTGGTCTTTATTATGCAGAGTCCACTCTCAGCAAGCTTTCAACAATACTAATTTGGACAGGAAGGGGAAACAGCCAATATGCATGAGAATAGGGAATGCTATTTTGAGGGTCCTCAACAAACCACACAGGTGGGCTGACAGAAACCTCATGAAGTTTAACGAAAGCAAATGCACCATCCTGCACCTGAGACAATCACCCCACACAGCAGGCAGGTTGGAGGCAACTAGATGGAGAGCAGCTTTATAGGACCTGGGAATGCTGTTGCACAGCAAATTTAACACAATTCAGCAACAGCCCTTGTGACAAAGGCAGCCAACTGTATACTGAGCTGCACTAACAGGTACATAGCTAGGACTTCAAGGGAAGGGATTCTTCACCTCTGTTCTTCACTCAAGGCCTCATCTGAGTCCAGTGTTGAGTTTCCCAATACAAAACAGACTGGAGCAAGTCCTGTGAGAGGACACAGAGAAGGACAGAGAAGTAGAGCACAAGATGTCTGAGAAACAGAGCATTCAAGAGAGAATGGTAGGGGAAGGGAAGGTGGCAGTGGGCATAGGGTAGGGAGCTACTGCTACTGTCTCCAGCTACTTAAGAAGGAATAGAGAAGTCAAAGTCAGACTCCTCTCAGCATTGTGCAGCAGGACAAGGGCAAATGGTCACAAATTTTAAACTACCCACTGTGAGCGTAGTTTAAAACTGGAACAGGTTGCCCAGAGAACCAGTGTGCCCAGCTTACCTAGACAAAGTCCTGAGCAAACCATGCTACCTTACTCTGCTTTGACCAGACAGTTGAACTTCCAGATGCACCTTTTAAACTACATGAGTCTAAAATTCTAAAGGGACCTCTTGCCAAGCAAGATAATACCACTCCAGCAGGCACCTTTGATGTTAATACAGCTACAAGAGTTTCTTGATACAGACTCTGAGAGATGCTGCTGCCCCTGTGAAGCAAATACTATGGTTTGTTAAAAGCTGTGAAGTGGTAGTTGGAAAGGAATTCTGCCACAAGTATTTCACAAGTTTCAGAAAACTTTAAAGAAATTAAGAACTCTGAATTCTCCTTTCCTGCATTGTCCGAGAGCATGCAAGCAGAAAAGCACGATGAGAAGCATCCAACACACACTACACTGTTCTACCCTTTTAGTTTTATAATTGATATTTTAGCCTGTTACATAGCAGCTGATGATTATTACAAACACAATTAGCAGTTATTTACAGACTGTCTCTTGAAGACTTCCAAGTAAAAGTTCCAACTGGACATTTCCTAGCTAATGATACTAATCCACTAATGACAGAGCTCTTTAAGGACATAGGTATGTGCCACCACAAAACAGATGAAGGAATGAAAACATGACACTGGTGTAGAAATTTAAATAAGCATACCTGCTCTCACACACAGATACACCTCTCTCAAACACCAAAGTGTCAGACTAACACTGCCCTCACATGTCCCTTCACAGGAAGGTTCAAACATATTGCCACGTCAGTACAATGCACATAGCTTTGGGGGTTTAGCAAACAGAAAAAATAAAACTGAAACTGTGAAACAGCAAATGTTTCTTGTTTGCTTTGCTTTCCATCTGACCCTTCAGCAGAAGTTAATAACTACTTGGCACTATTTTTAGATAGAGGTTGGAAAAGATGCAGCTTCTGTACCCTTACAGGTGTACATAAAGAAACAGCATAATTCAACTTACGCATCACATAAAGGACTAAAATCAATCTGATGTCTAATTTTCACAAATTAAAACAATATTTTATGAGGGTTCAAGGTCCTAGGAAAAAAAAAAAATAATAAAAAAATATGTATCCGAAGTAGTTGTTCAACCATCCATCTTTCCACCTGTAAATAGCATTCTTTTCATTTCACAATAGACTTTTTCTTCAATATCAATCTGTATCCCTTGCCTCTGTTTTAAAGCTTTCCAACATGCCTCAGCACTTGCCACTTAAGTAATTCAGAACAGCTGTGGGTAACAAAAGAGATATCACACTTCTTAACCTTAAATGTCTCAAAATTCCAGTTGAATAGTCATTTGGATCAGCAAAACTCTAACAGCTGTGTTTAGTGTTACAATACATCACCACTTTACAAAGGGTTCAACTTTTTTACGATTGAAACTGGTAGATTTTGCTCAATAATTTTTACAATGTGTTTGCTTACCTTTCACTCAACTTGGTACATACAAATTTTGTACCCAGTGACACATAAACTGCAAGATTTAAGCAACATTACCTTTAATACTAATGACTGTAGTTGTATTTTTGTGCATAGGTTGAAAAGAGTGTATAGCCTTTTGCTTTATTTGAATCACTTAAAAAAAAAAAAAATCATTATTTCTCAATTGGAAACAGATTAATGTTACATCTTCCAGAAGTAGTAATACCATCTGCACTGATCCTTGGTATCATTAAATGGCTTACGGCTCTGCTACAAATTCCCATTTGCCTTAAGAAGAAATACCTCTAACAGGTGACAGTTTCGGTGTTAAAGCTGGTGCGTTTTCACATCCTGCTGCTGTGATTATAATGAGCTACAGTGTTAATGCCAATGCAGATCTTCATCTGGAAGGTGCTGGCCCCAGCCATCTTTTAATAGGCATCTCTAAGCATAGATGTATTTTTTTTAACCATCAAGTACTTCAGAGATACAAATAACCAGAAATCAGTAATTCTTTCCTCAGGAGGTTTACAGGTTCATTGTACTAGCTAAAACATATCTGCAGATGAATAAAGGAAAACAGAGAAAGCTAGAAATCGGTACATTAACTAATTTCTGCATAGCCACCTCCTAGGCCTTGAAGAACACCCCTTCATAGTCACAAGTATGTAAAAGACCTATCTTCTCACTGTGCCTCAGCTCTCACATCTGACAAAGTTGCAGTAGAGACTTTACCTGAGGAACCCAATTCTTAACCACTACTCGATCACAGTGGTTTCTTACAAGGTTCCTTCATACAGTTTACAAATCACGTGGATTTCTCATTGTACATTACCTAAAAAGGCTGTTCTCCGAAATCTCTGTAAGATGTAAACTTCATGCGGCAGTGATTTCAATATGACCTCTAAATTACATCCTCTGCCTCCCCACGATATGGGTGGCTCTCCACTTTCCCACCTTACAACCAAGGTTTCACTTTTGAGCTTACAGGACAGTTTGATACAGCGCCTTGTTAACGTTCATGATTAATGATGAATTATATCTCCACAGTGTTGTATCCCTGATGAGGGACTCCCTGGGAAGGTTTCCCTGAAGGGGTACCCGACAGTGATAAATGAGGGCAACATCCATGGGAACATTCACACTGTTCCCATAAGCACGAAGGACAGAGTGGACTGAAGTCTGAATCACCTTTCGTGGATCAATTATCATCTTCCTGGGATTGATTACATCTTTCCTGTCAGGCTCTCTGTGAACATGCTGTAATATGTTAACACCCGGCACAGTGTTCCAGGATGAAATGTTGAACACTTGAGTAGATACGGTTTCTGGGAAAATATGGTTCTCAAAGAGGAAAATGCCAGTCCCCGGGTTTTGCTCCTGAAGGCTGCTCATCATTGCTTTCCAGTCTGGGTGCTTAAGGGGAAGAATTATTTCATCAGCATCATTAAGAACCACAAACTTGCTCCTCTGCATGTTACGGTATATACAGTCATTTAGAGCTGTGATTTGTCCATAGTAGCCAATGTGTGTTCCGTCTTGCATGAAGTGCCACTTAGAAGAAACCTTGAGGTGTGAGTTTATTGGCCAGGGAATTACTTCTACAGTTCCTTCTTCCATATAAAACTTCAAGACTTTCTCCATCAGCTGGCTGCAGTTGTTCTTATAGATCACCACTTTCTGTACCCCAAGAATCTTGTACATTTCCACACTCTGTATAAATTGCAAGACATTGTTGTAATTTCCAAACATGGCAGAGATGCATACAGTGAAGTCAACAGAAAAAGTCTCAGCCTTGCGGTTTTTAATTTCAAACCTTGGCAGCTGGTCAATATTTCCATGTGGAGACTGATGAATTGATACATGTGTTGGATCACAGTTTTCAGGTTCCAAACAAACTATATCTGCTGCACCATAAGGGAACCCAAATCTGTCTGAGTGAACATCAATTTTTGCTTTTGATACGTATATCTTTCCGTCAGGCTGACAGCAGAACCAACAGTAGAGTTGCTTTACATCTTCATGGTGAACAATACCAATCACACGAGTGACTTTGCTTTCTCTGTCATCAAAATATGGGGATATAATAAAAGTTCTGTTATCTTTTAACGGTGTTATTGTGCTATTGGTAATTTTCCCTCTACATCTGCTACGTTCTTGAATTATTTTTGGCAGGTGAGAAAGCCTTTGTAACCTAAGGTAAGAAAGCGTGACCATTGAAGTTAGAGCAATGACGCACACAGCAGCAGCAAAGTAAGATTTTTTCCCACCACACAACATTTTGAATGTATCTAAATGCTGATGGAAATGTCTTTGTTCTTGCACTTTATGCTGCTGCATCTGCAGAAGAGAAAATATGTAGTATGAGATAATATCGACTCATTGACTCAAGAATGTCAGCAACAAGATGGGGGCAAATCTCTATCACTGTGCACTACCTTAATCAGAGACCCAGATACTGTGCTTTTATGAAAAAACAATCACAGAACACACCTTTAAAGGGATGGACAATGCTGTATGTGGCACTGAATGTCTCTATATGTCAGATGTATGGAACAGTTTCTGTACATGGAAGGTTCTGCGAGAGAATATTCATTCCATTATTCATTATTTTCTATAATCTGAATTTTAGAACATCCAATTATGTAATTAGGCAGTAATTTTTAAAGCAAAACAAAAACTTTTTTTTTTTCCCTTACACAATGTATATGTAAATTATACATGAAAAAAACCTCTACCAGTCTTCTCACGGACAAGTTAGGGGCAGATACATAAATTACAGATATACAGAAATAATCAAGTTTGGGGGTTGTACATGATGATCCAGATACAATCTCTGATGTATAAATTCCCTAAACTGGAGCTCACCACAGATGAGACAATACATACAGAGGAAGGTCAATTTATACATTACAGCAGAAGACGAGTGAAACCTATGCAAATACAAATCTTCCCAGTTTATCAGCTCTACCCTACTTAGCACTGTACAAGGCAGGGCTTGCAGAGAAGGTCGCCTCATATTATGCTTGCTAGAGATCTGGGCCTCTTCACATTGCATCAATGCTGGCTCAGCTCCTGGCATGGTTTGGGGGTCAGGTCTTAAACTCTTGTCGCTGCAGGAACAGATAGGCATTCCTGAGTACTTGGAGAGCCAGCCTTCAGCAGCACTCACGGGCCAGCAAATGTTAATGCCTGACAGGGAGCTCATGGCACTCTCAAGCAGCAATTCCTACAAGTGGAACTCAGATTAAAGTTTCCTCTACAAATTCATCTTTAGGCATCCAGATAAGATCCATAAACAGTAAGGTGACGGCAAGTCTCCGTAAAGGCCTGCTTTTACCACAGAGATTCTTGGAAGAAGAGTGCCCCAAATTAATCAAATTCATGTTAGATGAGAAAACTGGACTTTTAGAAGGGAGTATCCCTGACTGCCAGCAAGAAGTGTGGGGTAAAATGCAATCATGAAATAAACTGATTCTATGGCACAAGATGAAGAAAATGTTTCCAGTAGACATGTCATTGATGCATAAAGCCAGCTGCTGAGAAAAAAAAAAAAAAAAAATCATACCATTAAAAGATCCAGATTTCTAGGTAGATATTTTATCGCTGAAACAGGTAGCAATGCCATAGGTATAGCAGATATTGGATGATTCACGCATTTCTTGTCCTTTCATTTACTTCTAAAGATTTTTTTAACAAAATCACTTGCCTAATTACTTAGTAATCTAAGTATCCTCTGAGAGTATGCCCATGCTAAATATCTAACACTATTTTTTCAAAAGTATATTACTCATTCTATTCTAAAATATTAAGCAAACTTAATATTTCATACTCTTTTTTTTTTCAGATTTCACACATTGTGTAAAGCTATTTTGAGAGTATCTTGATATTGTTTTGTGATGGAACAGAAAACTAGCATTTTCAAAGAAAAGTAAGAAAGAAACAAACTAAATAGAACCTAAATCGATAGTTTTGATCCAGATATACTCCACAGCTTCCTAACTTTGGCAGTGTTTAAATTCACTGGCAACTTCACTGCTTGGCTTGAAACATTCCTCTAGGGTCTGGTTTTCCACTTAATACAGTATTCTCCAATCAGCAAGATCTAGCTTCTGAATACAGCCATCTAGTTTCTGAATCTCAACTGATTTGAGGCAAAAAATAATTGCCCATGCCTTCAGAATAATTTTAAATATGTTCACTATTGCTTTTTCCTGAAAAAGGAAAGTAAGAAGAACTATGATCACAACATACCCCTTAAAATGCCCCATTTGCCATGGCTGATAGGATTTACAGCAGCCTTTCCTAGCTACCAAGAAATGGCAGTCATAGGATACCAGAAATCTCATTACATCACACAAGGCACAAAGCCGAACAGCAGCAGCAGACTGCCCTGACCCTTCTGTCTCTACAATTTAAAGCAAATACATGGTAAGAGCCTGATACTGTCATACAACTTTCTGCTGAAGATCTGTCACTGAGAACAACTCAAATTTTCTAAATCTTTTTATTAAACGTTCTAAAGTCAGACAAAGTTTCCTCCGAGCATTCCTATTCCCAGATTGTTATGTATCTTAGCATTCTTACAACATAGAGTAAGTCACATTTAACATTTTTTCCTCTGTCTTATCTATTTATGACATAAAATACAGTTCAGTCTTATAAATAGTTTTTACTAAACAAATATCAGAACATGTCAACATTAAATGCTACAGTTAATTTATTATCTGTTAGTTCTTCTGCTTTTGCTAGCTATTAATAATGAACAATAAAAAAAAAAATCTTTTCAACTGTGTTTTGAACAGTGAACGTGAGAAAGGAAAAAGTACCTTTTAAAGCAGGTAAGTTGAGTGAAGTTCTGTTCAGTCCTTCATTTATCTTTTGCTAAGGTATAATCTATAAATTGTTTATTCTAACCAGATAAAACCAAATATTTTTAATATAAATTGCAAGAGTGGTTCAATACAAAACAATAAAGAGGAAAGAAAATGCTGGTATAACACCTAAGACACTTGCTGACACATTCTATTGCAGATGGTTGGTATTCTTTAATGTCAGTAACAGCAGCCACACCTACCGGAAAAACAAGTTTTCCCTCTCTTGAGCAAAGCACACAGTTGCCTCCCAAGAACTTAATTTAAATTACAAACTTGAGTGTGCAGTTGTTGAAGCAAATTAAACCTAGGTGCTCAGGTGATTTTTTTTTTAAGGCTACTTAAGCTTCCTTCTGGAAATTAATCCTGCATGTTGATATATCCACAGTTTGCACACATACTTAAGGAGAACTAGAAAAATATAGTATATATCTGTATTTCTTGGGCAATCGTTTTTTTTTGGTAACACTATAGGCCTAACTAATTAGGTAAATACAGATACAGACAAGGAACTGTGAAAGAGATCTGAAACAACAGCAGGTTCCGGAAGTGGAAGAAAAGAGCGAAATACAGAACTCAAGACACACCAGAACATAGAATCTTAAAGAAAATAAATAAGTAATTATTTGAGGAGTGAAATTCATGGTTTTCCCAACACAACTCATGAATTTTGCTCCTCGGAAATCAACATCACAGATATGCAGTTGTAAAATATATAAAGTCAGATTAATTAGGAACATTACATTTATACTTCCTCACTATAGAGAGTACTTGGCAAATTTTAACTTCAAAAATATGCTTCCAGCATACTTAGAAGAGTTTATTTTATAACAAGAACAATTATACATTCCAGTTTTGTGTCTTTAATTTCCAATTACTATTCAAATAGAACATGATACAAATTATGCAGATTTGCTTTAGTACTAAATTTAGCTAATGGCATCAACAGCTACTTTGCACCAGTTGGCTCTTTTTCAGTATTCCCCTTAACAGTAAATAGCCTTTCTTCCTCCCTATTGCACATATGGACTGCAGTCATATCACCTCCTAGTCTTCATATTTGCTACTTTTTCATTAACTAAGACATGTTGTTCTAATACCATCTCGTAAGAAACACTCTTCCTTGATCAGCTGCTGCTGTGCAGTTGGCTCATTTTCAATTAATTTCTATCACAGGAGATCATGATTTTCTGTTTCTTGTCCATTTGTACGTGACAGTGATAAGTCCTCATCCTTGCTGGAAATTCTCTTAACATATGCTAGGATTGTATTTTTTGCAGATGCATTACACCGCACATATGCATCTGAGCTTGTCCTCACTGGAAGATTAACACATCTATATAGTCTTTCAGCCAAGTGCTGTTACACAGTTCTGCTGCAGAATTCTGTTTTCTTCTGCAGCAAGGTCATAATAAAATGCTCTTATCCTAGTTGGAATCATAGAATCATTGAATGGTTTAGGTTGGACAGGACCTTTAAAGATCATCTAGTTCCAACCTTGCTGCTGCGGACAGGGACACCTTTCACTAGATCCGGTTGCTCAACTTAATCATACTTCACCTTATTTAGAAGGACTATGACAAAATAAAATCTACTCCAAAACCTTATATGTGACCAAGAATGCATCTACAAACTTGCGTATGCTTAAATCATCTTTCTCTTCCTAAACCACGGAACTGCTCATGCTTTCTTTTGCCACATTGTACTACTATGCTCACAACACATTTATTAAACACCCTTTATAAGGTCGTCAGTAGCTTGCCTGTCTTCTTAGGCTTTTGAAATGGAAATTACTTGGTATCATCTTCTAACTGGAATGTTGTTTTTACCTTTACTGTACAACTTCTATTTTCAGATCTTCTTTTCTGTCATCTTTCTTTAACCCTCCACAATTAGCACTGTCCTTACTAAAAGGTGGAACAAAATGCTAATTTAGTTCAAGAGCCATTCCTAGGTCATTCTTAATCTCCCTCACATTTTCTCTGCACTGTGGCCTTCCTTTGTAAGTTGTTTTCTTTGCCTTGAGACAGCTAAAGACCTTTTATGCTGCTCATTTCAGTATCGTCACAATGTCTGTATTGAGTTTAATTTTTGATAACTCTCAGTTTATTACTTTATATCCCAATCTAGGGGGAGGATAGGGGGCAAGTGACAAGAGGCGACTGTAAAGTTTCAGTCACTAATATGGAATATTGTATTCAGTAGTATAGGAGCAATAAACAGTCTAATCCTTCATTTACCCAGGGTCTAACTAAAAAGGTACCACTAAGAAATAGCCTTATTATTTTTGGAGAAAGTTATTCTCTATCATCTGCTTTATGGTTTTCGCTAAAAGTAACTACAGAAACCACTGGTGCTTAAATAAAAATTCCAAAGACTAACATTGAACATCTTCATCTAGATTGTCTTTTGCTAATCTTTTGATAGCTTATCTTTTTCAGAAAGACTCTGTGAAACATCAGTGTCCTTTCTCTCTTATAGGAGCCAAAGTCAGAAGCACATTGTTGAAGAATTAAACTGAGGGCAGTATTATTCCATTATTCGTAAAATATTGCTCTACAAAACTAAGCTTGCCATTTCTATTCTAAATACAAAGAAGGTAAGCCAGACCAATATAAAGTGTTGCTATATACTTAACTTCAGTCATTTGAACTGACAAACCACGTTTCCCTGTACAGTCATAAACTTCCCCATTACAATCTGCTGTGCATCCCTAGGCCAAGTTTCTCCTATTGTAAACAATTAGACTCTGCGTCCTTTGAAAATAAATAGATCAGGCAAAATAAAAATTGCGCGACGACATTTAAAAGACTGTTATTTCAACTTTTTGTCTTTCACACTGTACTTGTTTTAGCTGGGACTGAGTTAGTTTTCTTCATAGCAGCTGGTGGGTTGCTGAGTTATGGGTTTGTAACCAAAAGTGTTTAAAACACACTGATGTTTTAGCTACCATTGAACAGTGCTTACACAGCATGAAGGCCATTTCTGTTCCTCATGCTGCTCTGCCCACCCCATCCCAGGAGTAGAGTGGCACAAGAAGTTTTCAGGGGACACAGCTTGGACCGTTGAAGCAAACTGACCAAAGGCCTATTCCATACCATATGACACCATGCTCAGCAATAAAAGCTCAGGGAAGGAGGAAGAAAGGGTAGACATGCAGCATTATGACACCCATCTTCTGAAGTCACCGTCACGTGTTGAAGCCCTGCTTTCCTGTACACGGCTTAAAAACCTGCGTGTCTATGGGAAATGGTGAATAAATTCCTTATTTCGCTTTGCTTGCACACATAACTTTACATCTTAAATTGTCTTCATCACAACCCGTATATTTTCTCAGTTTTGCCTTCCAGCTTCTCTTCCCCATCCCACTGCTGGGGCAGGGGGGAGTGAGTGAGCGGCTGTGTAGTGCTTTGCCTACCAGGGTTAACCCACAGCACATGCTGAAACCACTCTTTCAAGGAGTTATGCATTTTTTTTAAATCTAAAATTAAACTCCAGTCCTGGAATGTGTTCAGATGGAAACTTCAAAAAATTGGGATGCACAATTAATATATACCTTTAACTTACCGTTAAGTGGCTCGCACCAGTACTCAAAAACAATGCTACAGCTGACCACCATCTTATTTCCTATTTCTTGAACGGAAACAAAGTCCCGAGCCCGTCGAGCCTCTTCTGCAAGTGATGCTAGTTACAGGACGCTGAGCAGGAGCCGCAGTCCGACGCCCTGCCCGGTCCCAGCAGTCTGACTAGACAAACATGCCGACAGCAGCGCGCCTGCCTCCCTGCTTCCCTCGGTCCTCCGCCCCGTCGCTTCGCCTCTCCCGGCGCGGGGGGAGCTTCTGCCGCCGGAGCCCCGCGCAGGCAGGCTGATAACGCTGCTAACGCTGCCGCCGGAGCCCTCGCGCGACCTCCCCGGCCCCTTCCGCGGCAGGGAAGCCAGCAGCCGCCAGACCGCCTCCGAGCCGGCTACTGCGGGCCCCCTGCCGCTGCGGCCCAGGGAGAGGCGGGGACGCCCGACCCCTTCACCTGCCGCCCAGAAAGGCTGCGGCAGCTGCGGGCGGGAGCGCCAGGAGACCCTGCGGGCCCCCGCCCACGCCGTGCCTCCGGAAGAGCGCCCACCCGCCGCCGAACCGGGTGGAGTCGTTCGCACACACCCACGCTCCGCGCGCGCGGGGCCGGAGCGTCGGCGCACTGGGCCGTTCGGGCGCTGCCCCGTGCGGCTCCGGTGCGGGTGGCCCGCGAGGGCCAGCAGGCAGTGGCTCCGCCAGAGCGCGGCCCCAGGAGGCCGTCCGGCAAGCCGCGGGCAGCGGGCTGGCGTCGGCGGGAAGCCCGCGGCGGCCCGTGCTCCCCGGCACCGGCCGCTCTCCCGGGGCGCGCGGCCGCGGCCCGCCCCTCCCTGCCGCGCCGCCCGCGCCTCTGGCCGCTCCCACCGCTCCCGCAGCCGTCGCAGGTTCCCCGGGCCGCTCGTCGGGGCCGCCCCGCGCAAGGCCGCGAGGTGGGGCGACACAGCGGCCGGTCCCGGGACGCTGCTGCGGGCGCGGCGCGGCGCGGGCTCGCCGGCCCGCCCCGGGGGGCCCGCGGAGCCGTCTGGGGAGCAGGGCCTGACCCGGACCCCGGCGGCGCCGGGAGCGCCGTTCACCCCGGTCCGGGTGCCGTGCCTGCCACACACCCCGTCCCTGGAACGGACAGCACAGCCCGCACAAGCGCAAAGGAGAGGCCGCAGCTGTGCCGTGCCTCGCGGGAGGAGGCCTCTGGCCTCGGCACGAGCGTTGCACCGTCAGTTTCTCTACTTGTGTAAAATGGAGAAACACGAGCCGTTATATTTCCAAAATGCAAGTCAATTTTTAAAAAGTAAAGGGAAAGTTTACATAATGATAAAATCCAGTCGTTTACACCACTGCTTTTACTTTTTAGAGACAACAAGTAGTTGGATCATTCTTACAACAAATACAACGTTAGGATTTGTACGAGTGGTGGGAATTTTTCTAGTGGTGAAAGCCATGAATTAACATTGTTCCTGTGAGTAAAAGATGATCTTAAATACACAGTGCATTTGTTGCTGGGGAGAACGCAGCATTAAGTGCCTATTGCAACATCATTAAGTTTCATTAATGCACTTAGAATTGTAGCATACACAACATAGTTAACTTTCAGAGCAAAAGACATACATATATATTGAAAAGGATTTGTGCCTGATATGTGCCTGGTACGTCACACCTATTTCCTGCGAAGACAACAATTTCATCAGGCGCTTACCAAACATGTAAACATCTCTAGAAAGCAGTAGACTGAGGCCTCAACTGCCCTTCTTGGATCAAATAAGTTTTTCAGTTTTGAAAATCTCTTCCCTAGATACCTTGATTCAGTTCACAAATCAAATGCATTTATCGTTGTACATTACCTAAAAAGGCCGTTCTCCGAAATCTCTGTAAGATGTAAACTTCATGTGGCAGTGATTTCAATATGACCTCTAAATTACATCCTCTGCCTCCCCACGATATGGGTGGCTCTCCACTTTCCCTCCTTACAACCAAGGTTTCACTTTTAAGGTTACAGGACAGTTTGATACAGCACCTTGTTAACGTTCATGATTAATGATGAATTATATCTCCACAGTGTTGTATCCCTGATGAGGGACTCCCTGGGAAGGTTTCCCTGAAGGGGTACCCGACAGTGATAAATGAGGGCAACATCCATGGGAACATTCACACTGTTCCCATAAGCACGAAGGACAGAGTGGACTGAAGTCTGAATCACCTTTCGTGGATCAATTATCATCTTCCTGGGATTGAAAACCTCTTTCCTGTCAGGCTCTCTGTGAACATGCTGTAATATGTTAACACCCGGCACAGTGTTCCAGGATGAAATGTTGAACACTTGAGTAGATACGGTTTCTGGGAAAATATGGTTCTCAAAGAGGAAAATGCCAGTCCCCGGGTTTTGCTCCTGAAGGCTGCTCATCATTGCTTTCCAGTCTGGGTGCTTAAGGGGAAGAATTATTTCATCAGCATCATTAAGAACCACAAACTTGCTCCTCTGCATGTTACGGTATATACAGTCATTTAGAGCTGTGATTTGTCCATAGTAGCCAATGTCTTTTGCATCCATAGAAAAATGCCACTTAGAAGAAACCTTGAGGTGTGAGTTTATTGGCCAGGGAATTACTTCTACAGTTCCTTCTTCCATATAAAACTTCAAGACTTTCTCCATCAGCTGGCTGCAGTTGTTCTTATAGATCACCACTTTCTGTACCCCAAGAATCTTGTACATTTCCACACTCTGTATAAATTGCAAGACATTGTTGTAATTTCCAAACATGGCAGAGATGCATACAGTGAAGTCAACAGAAAAAGTCTCAGCCTTGCGGTTTTTAATTTCAAACCTTGGCAGCTGGTCAATATTTCCATGTGGAGACTGATGAATTGATACATGTGTTGGATCACAGTTTTCAGGTTCCAAACAAACTATATCTGCTGCACCATAAGGGAACCCAAATCTGTCTGAGTGAACATCAATTTTTGCTTTTGATACGTATATCTTTCCGTCAGGCTGACAGCAGAACCAACAGTAGAGTTGCTTTACATCTTCATGGTGAACAATACCAATCACACGAGTGACTTTGCTTTCTCTGTCATCAAAATATGGGGATATAATAAAAGTTCTGTTATCTTTTAACGGTGTTATTATGTTTTGAGCAGGTTTTCCTCTACAAAGCTCACCTGCTGGACTGGAAGTTGTTGCCTGGCGGAAGATTTTTCTAGTTATGTTATTCTGCAGCTGAGGATCTTTCCAGGAGCAGATTAAAATGCTTGCAAAAATAAGAATACATGCAACAACAGCACAAATATGTTTTTTTCCACAGTGTATCATTGCTGAATTTCACAGTTTGGAACTTAACAGGCTTTTACACTCAGTCTTCTGTGCACTTTCTCTAAAACAAAACAGACACAAAAAAAAGCACACTTTCAGTGATTTGCCAAAACGAGGCAATGTTTTGTCTTGAACTGTATTCTCTTAAAGGCAACAGGTACTGGTTTGATACTTGGAACTTTAGTATGAAGACCTGCCTTTTCATACAGCTTTGGAAAAAAAAAGAGAGATGCTCTTACTCTGAGCTCTCTCTGTGCTCTTTACATCTTCTTATTCAGAACTTTGTTACATTTTACTCTACAGCTGGGCCCAGTGCAACAGTTTGAGCTGTTTTGGTATACAGTTATGGTAATACAATGTGATTTGAATCACTCTGATGCCTGGAAGAAATTTTATGTTACTGAACCCCCATATTCTTTATCTTTTGGTATTCTGCGAAGATTGTAAAGCTATATACTTCTCCTTTCCCCTCTTTCTCTTTAAAAAAGGTACTGTGAACAAAAATTCAAACTGTATTCTTTTGATTTGTCTAGGAGTAATCCCATCATAGTCTCTCAAGTGTCCTGATTCCTGAGTCACAGTGAAAATGTTTTCAGAGGCTAGTGTTTTCAGAGTTTAGTAGGTTCCTATGGTATTCAACATTATCTAGTAAAAGACGTTTGAAAAGAATGATATTTTCACTTGTTCAGGTGGCTGAGATTACCTTAAATGTAAATTGCTTTTGCCACTAAAGATTACAAGTTTCAGACCACAGTTCTAAATCAGCAGTTGATTTCAGTCAGACTTTGTGTGAATTTTGTGACCATTCATTGGGACCACATGCACTACTGAAATTTTTAACCTTGCCATGGAAACTTCAAATTCTCCAAGATACTACCAAACCAGACTACAAAGTGAAGATTTTCAATATGCAATCACAGCTCAGTATTTACACATGCTTAAACCATCAAGCAGATGGAAGGCAAATTAAACCAAAACCAAACAAAATCAAACCTTGCTTTATTCTGTGAGCAGCCATGAGGGCATGGTATAATGTGACACATCACAACAACATATCAGAACAATTCACCAGTGCCTGTACCATTTGTAGGTGTTCTGTCCTTTTTTGTATACACTCAATCTCAGCTGAATAACAACTGCTTTCTAATTATGCACAAAATTGCCACTTAAGTTACAGCCCTATTCTGACTCCAGAGTACTAGGTTTGAAGAACATGATGAAAGCACTGCTGCCTGGTGTTATCTGCAAATTTAAGATGTTGCTCAACTGCTCTTTTTCATTTTTTGGCCTCAAAAAATGTAAGAAGTTATTTTGAATGATGTATAATGACCCATTCTCTAAAGTGAAAATTTTGTGTTGCTCTCTGCAAATTGTTATGCAAACTGTACATCTTCCCCTTTCATGCAAGTATTGGTATTCACCGATTTTAAGATTACCCTGCCTGTGCAGAATAGTTTTTCTAATACGATCACAAAGTTTAAAGTTACTCATTTCTGCAAAAGATGTCTCCTTATCTGCTTTAAATAATTCTAATATTGCCTCCTCAACTAACCAAAAAAATTCAAATATGCTTTTTGTCATTGGCTCACTGGTAGCTAAGCAGAACCTTGCAAGTGATATTTGCATGGAAAAGATGACAATATATAGAAAACTAGGGCTGCATCATCAGTTACCAGCTTACATCATTCTTCAAAAACTTAATCCTACTTTTTGGATTGGAAACCATTTACAATTACTGACATGCTGTCTATTAGAAAACTATGAGACTATTTTAGAGTGAAATGGGTTTTTTCTTTAAGAGTATTCATTGGGAAGTGGGATTGAAAATTACAGAAAACTTCAGGAGAAAAAAAAACCACACACACACACAAAAAAAGCCAATAACAACATGGAAAAATAGTAATTTCAAGTTCTAGTTCTTGTTTTTTACCCACAATTGCTTTTATTTTCCTTTTTTTTTTTTTTTTTTTGTCTCTTCCCACTTCAGAGGTGGGATTTAGCTGTCTGTTCTCTTGGAGGAAATCAACAGAATGCTTCAGAGATGGGAGTAGGTCTGAAGATCAAGAGGCATGTAACAAGGACAGAGGACTGGAAGTTGTAAAAGTAGAGTAGTTTATGGGTCCAATCTTGACATCGAAGGGAACAATAAAGTGACTGAGGAAGGTAGAGAAAATCAGAGAATCCTGATATAAACTATTCTGGGGAGGATGATTTACTGCATAAGAGATAGGACAAATTTACTAAGGGGTGAGATGAATCAAAGCACTAATAAAGTGCCTCATCATTAATGTCTGTTACATTTATTTACAGGAATAGAGTTCAGGTTGGTTTTTTTTTTTTGATACAGATGCTAAGTGCAAAAATCATTACACTGTTCTGGTGAAATACGTTTACAATTGTCAATTTTACACCAAGCAGCAATACACCTTAAAAATTACATGTTAAATTAGGCTTGGGAAATTTACATGCAAATTGCATTTTTAAGATTTAAGAAATATTAGAAAACTAGTGATCTCTTCCTGCAATAAGGAATCCACTCATGGCAAGTA